AGATTTCTCAGGAGGCAGGTAAGGTGGTCTGGTATTCACGTCTCTTGAAGATTTTTCCCCAGTTTGTTGTGATCCACACAGTCAAAGGCTTTAGTACAGTCAATGAAGCAGAAGTAAATGTTTTTCTGGAATTCTCTTGCTTTTTCTATGATCCAATGGATATTGCCAATTTGATCTCTGGTTCATCTGCCTTTTCTAAATCCAGGTTGAACATCTGGAAGTTCTTGGTTCACGTACTGTTGAAGCCTAGCTTGGAAAATTTTGAGCATTACTTTGCTAGCATGTGAAATAAGTGCAATTGTGAGGTAGTTTGAACATTCTTTGGCACTGCCTTTCTTTGGGATTGGAATGAAAACTGACCTTTTCCAGTCCCATGCCCATTGCTGAGTTTTCCAAATTTGTTGGCATATTCTATTTAATTAGCTTTTCTTTGATAATACTCACTTATTAACAAGAGTAATAGGTAAGTATTATCAAAGAAAAACTATTAAATAGATGGAAATCTGTGATTTCACTTCTAATTGGAAGAACTTCTAGAAAAAAAGCCAAAAGTTCATGAAAGAGAAAGAACTCAATTGATGTGAAGGATTAAAACATTTACCATTTTAAGTCTATATCTTTTCTATTTGTGACAAGTTGTTATTTTCCTATTTCATCTATTGTTAAAGTAAGTAAACCCTATGATGAAAGGTTTAAGATATTATTTCCCTTTATACTATACATCATCATTATATAGCAAGCTCATAGATCTAGGTTTCCTTAGGACAGTTCTGATTCATGACTCTATACTCTTAAAAGTGTCTGCCTCGGACAATAAGTTATGTGATCACTTTATTACAATATTCTTAATGCTAGAACTTCCCAATATATTAGCAGATTTTCATGTATGTTTTCTACAGACAGAGCCATTTGCAGCTATATTCACTGTAAATAGAAATCAATAAAGAAAAAAAAAAGAAAAGAAATTTTACTTTTTTCTAGAGCCTTTAGAGCAGTAGTTTTTCCACTAAAGGTTTTCCCCAACAAGCATCCTTTTATAGCAAATGAAGGTAACTCAGGTTCTGTAGGTTCAACTTGAGGAGGAAGAGAACTTTCAATTAGTCTGTGAATCACATGGCCCAATATGCAATTGTTGGAGGGTGGTACGTTTTCAACCATTTCTTCAGGTAAGGCCCATTCTCCAACCATGTTCTATAAAAATAATAAGAAAACAAAACAGAAATATTCTTAAAAGTGGAATTTAAGCATATAGGAAATTGAAAGTAAATACAAATTATAACAAACAAAAGTGAATTGATATTTTAAATAGTTATATTACATAAATGAATAATAACATAATACTTTCATATTAGTGAAAAATAAGCTTCCCATATAGAAATAAAAAATAAATTCTAAAATACTTAACACTTTATGAAAGTAGACATATTGAGCTGAGAAAAATTGTAATGTGAGTATTAGACACTTAAATTGATGCTATCAGTAGATAGATAAAAGACAGTAAGAGTTATGTGGCTACTGTATGCAAATACTAAACTTATTTTTAAATATTTTAAAGATAGATAAAAGAGAATTTTCATGACCAATATGTTGTTTCCTATATTTGTGTTCCAGTCTCTTTAAGCTTCTGGCTTAAATGATCAAACAATTAGAGGAAAAGCAAAACAAAGACAAAACAACTATATAGTTCACATTCTCTGACTTCTGTGCACTAAAACTAGAAATAAATTTTATTTTTAATAATTAAACACTGCCTTTTTGAATTATTCTTAATGAAAAATTAAAACTGTAAATATCTGTAAATAATAGATTGAGAAAAATATTAAAATAATAGATTTATTTTAATTAATGAGACAAAATCAAGCTGTAGTTAGAGGAAAACTCATAGTCCCTTAGCTTAAAATGCTTTGATCTAAAATAAAAAGAAGGAAAATAAATGAACTAAGGTTGAAAATAGGAAAAAAACAGTTTTAAAATAACCAGAAAAGAACATGGAGGAAGAAACTCATGATAATGGAGATGATAAATTAGAGAGTTAATACTATTAAGATATTTTTATTGATATAATTCTAGAACTTATTCATTTTAATCATAATGAAATTGCTACCAGTTATGCACAAAGGTGAAGTATAGCAAGTATTAATTTTGTAACATAGGAAAGGCAGTAACAACAGATTTTTAGGAGACTTAAAAATCCTTAAGAAAATATTATATACAAATCTACTATGATAAATTTTAATTTATTAATGTGTGATAAAATGATATTTTAAGAAAGTACAAGTTATTAAAATTAATTTAAAAGAAATATTTATAAATATTAAAGGCATGAAAGAAAGAAAAATATTATTGAAGAACTATATCTAGGAAACTTGATAACACTGCTAACAAAAAAAAAAAAAAAGAAAATTTTTCTCAAACAGATATTTAAATGCTATTTAAAGTCTTCTGAAGTATGGCAGAAGATAGCTTTCCAGTTTGCTTGGTGAGACTAATGTAACACTGGTACTAAAAAAGGTGTCAAAGACCATTGACAAAAACAGCATTCAAAAAAGAAAATAACAAACAAATCTCATTTGGAAATATACTGCAAGAATCATTCATAAAATACTGACAAAAATCAGCCTATATTAAGACAAAACAATTATATTAGTTGACATTTACTACACATTCAGTATATCCCATATACTGCTGTTTTCATGAATTATTTCTAATGATTCTCACACAACTCTTACATAAGTATAATTATCTTGCCAGCTTTGCAGAAGAAAACCCTGAGAATTATAGAAACTAAGTTATATTTGTCTATGTGTGTGTGTGCTCATGGGGCTTCCCTGGTAGCTCAGAGGATAAAGCATCTGCCTGCAATATGCTCAGTCATGTCTGACTCTGTGCCCCGTGGACTGTGGCCCACCAGGATCCTTGTCCATGGGATTTTTCTAGGCAAGAGTACTGCAGTGGGTTGCCATTCCCTTCTTCAGGGGATTTTCTTGACTCAGGGATGAAACCTGAATCTCTTATGTCTCCTGCATTAGCAGGCAGGTTCTTTACCTATAGTGCCTCCTGGGAAGTTCATAGTCACAACAGTAATGGCAGAGCTTAGTAAGGACTCAGGCAGACAGACTGCAGAACATACGCTCAAAACCTTTATACTACATGACTGAATAAGTGTTACTTCATGAATATAAGGAAGGTTAAAAATGATAAAACCTATCATATATCACATTAATAGGTTAAAATACAAGCATATGATCATTTTGACCAAGAAGCATCTGATAAATTCAAAATTCATTTCTGATGAGAAAAAAAATTAAACAAATTTCTTAGGATGTTACAAATTGAAGATGATTGGCCTAACACTTTTTACATATCTTACCAATATATAATGGTGAGCCAAAGTGAACAACACATTTTTCTATTAAAAGTCGGAATAAGGAAAAGATGTTCATCATTTACAGTAATAGTCACATTATTCTGGAAGCTCTAGCCAACGCAAATAAGATAAAGAAAGAAGTAGAAAATTAACATATCTACAAAACAGATTCACAGACACAGAGAACAGACTTGTGGTTGCAGGGGGAGGCAAGGGAGGGAGGGAAGGACTGGCAGTTTAGGGTTAGCAGACTTAGCAGATGCAAACTAGTATATACAGGATGGATAACTAATAAGGTCCTATTGTATAGCACAGGAAACTATAATCAATAGCTGTGATAAAGCATAATGGAAAAGAATATGAAAAGGAATGCACATATAACTAAATCATTTTGCTGGACAGCAGAAGTTAACACACCCCTGTAAACCAACAATTGTAAATCAATATTGCAAATCAACAAACTTTAAAAAAAAGAAAAGAAAAAGTAGTAGCGCTGCTAGAATTAGCAGTTGAGCTCCTGGTGCAGAGGTAGCTGCTGCAACCTGAATTTCCAGTGCTCTGTGCTGGTGACAGTCTTCTCATCAGATCTTGCTGTGATGGTTCTGATAATTTTCCTTGGAAGTTTAACCTTGAGCATGGTTCTTGAATTTAACCTACAGAGTCACTGAACTACCGAACATATTTTGGATATTTTTTCTGCTTACTTAGCATAGGTCAACTTTTTTTACTGCAATTAGAAACTTTGACAAAAATCACCAGAATTGATGAGAAATATATAACCTAAGCATTGTCTTGCATTTCTACTGACGAGTGTAAGAAAAATGACTTGAATAAAGGGAAATTCAAAAAAGTCCAAAATTATAAGCCACTGAATTCTTCTCCAAATTAATCTGATTTAATGTAATGAAACAAAACTGTTAGTGCTATTTATTTATTTTTCCTTCAGGATATCACAAATGGTTCTAAAGTTGAAGCTTAAAAAGAACTGTACAGATAAAAATATGTACTTAAAAAGGAAAGAAATATGGGTTTGTTGCCTAACCAAAGATATTAAAGCACTTATTAATAACTTATGAGGACTTCCTAGGTGGCGCAGTGGTAAAGAATCCACTTGCTAATGCAAGAGATGAAAGAGATGTAATTCAATCCCTGGTTCTGGAAGATCCCCTGGAGGAGGCATGGCAACCCACTCCAATATTCTTGCCTGGGCAACCCCATGGACAGAGGAGCCTCATGGGCTACAGTCCATGTCGTTATAAAAAGTCAAAAATCACTGAATGACTGAGCACTCAGTGCTTTATACTCTTGTCAATTCCTTCATCTTTGTATGATAATAATATCTATTTCACAGGGTTGTTGTAAAGGTTGAGTGAAAGGCTTGTGTGACCACTGACTCTGAATGCTTAACTATTAACAGAAGTTCTCTTGTTGCTGCTGGAAGCACACATGGTAATACCCTTAAGGGAGACAGTAGCTACATTTTTGCCCAACAAGAAGTGCACTGTGATCAGAAAGGCATGCTTCCTCACAAAGGGGTCAGAATAAAACCGTCTTCCCTCACTGGTTAGTTGCAGAATGTGGTCAGACACAATGGGATAGAATGTTGACTATGAAGAGAACTGAAGGCTTAGGTCAGGCATAGGACTGAAGCCTGACCAGTGGAGATGGACAGATTGAGGATTTGGTAGAACATATTTTACAGCATCACCTTAAAAATACAGTTGTGAAATTCCTAGTAAGACTAAAGATAAAGGGTAAGTAAAGGGAGATGTGTCAGGTTGGAATAAGAACATGATGAGGGAAAAGGAAAATGAAAAAAGAGGGAAATTAGGCCAGAGTAAAGATGACTAGTTTAAGGCAATGGCAATGAGCAAAAGAGACTTTGTTTTTGAAGGTTCTTTTTTTTTATTCCCAATTTTCAGAACCCTGCTGGAACCTAATAGGCATTCAATATTTATTGAATGAAAGAATGAATCAATCAATTGGTAGTATAGGCTCAATATAAGTGAACAAAATAAATGAGTGAATACATGGATATTGCATCTTATTAATTTTGATTAAGTACAAGGTTGTACAAGGATGACTTAGTTCTCCAAATAAGACAGACACAAGCCAACCTAAAATCTAGGATACGATCAGCAAGAGTCACCCTCACAGATGGAAGTTAAGAAGAATCCACAATGTATGAAACTAGCTAAGCCTGGAAGCAGTCTAGAACAGCTTGTAGTATGATTTTCAAAGAGCTTCTCCATTAAACCAAGGCATCCTTTTTCATGGCAGCAGGAAGCATCTCAGTTAAAGTGTACTAAATTATAAAGAATTTATAAAATGGGACTTTGTAAGAAGTTCTGCCAGAGATTTTTACAGGGTGCTGAGGGGGTAAGGAGCAGCCTGACTGAATGAATAGGTAAGGTCTGCTCTATGGCAAGTTATTATGATCTGGTTAGTTTCATTTTCCTAACTGGATATTTGTCTTAGGTCTCACAGATTACATTGACCCAGGGTATACCACATGACTGGCAGATAATAAAAATAAGCTGCAGAAATTCTAGCTCTGTTTGTGGCAATTAACTTCCAAGCCTTTTGTCTGAGTCCTGGCCTGTTCCAGTTCTGCCTAGCTTCCAATCTGCTGGCTTCGTTTCTATTCTCTAGTCTGGTTCTTACCCAATCTCAGCTTTGATCACTGGCCTGCTCAAAGGCCTTGGCTTGATCCCACCTTTTCTCTTCCTGTTTCTGGCTACATCAGGTAAATTATCTTGACCACTTTTGTTCCAGCTCTGAGAACTCAATGAGCCCTGGAGCTAGTTCTCATAGCTGACCTTCTCTGTTCAGGTCTGTCCGTCTCCTACCAGAGGGAATCAGATATCATAGAAACACATCTATTATTATTGCAACAAGGAACGTCTAGTAGCTGCATTCCAGTTACTGTGCTTGGAGGATTTGGCACTCAGGAAGACACCAAATTCCACAGGGAAGGACTAACATACAACCTGGTGGTTTTGGAGCCTCTGTCCTTTGCCTTGCTTTCCCAGACTTTCTCCTCCAACCACCCCCAAACCCTGAGGGAATCTGGAGGAACTGCTTATGTTTGTAATTCAGACTTTATAAAGTTCCTTAGAACCACCCACGGTTCTCAGAAGAAGAAAGGGTTGGTTGGATATTCTGCCAGATAGGAAATTCAGCTCATGTAAACTGGCAACTCTACAGGGCTTGACTACTGTGTGGGACATGTTTGAGAGGCAGGTTCCTATCAAAGATTGGGAAGATTGATGGAAAAATGGAGGCTGTGCTCTTCTGCCTCTAACAAGGAGGAAGGAAAGAGGTCCAGTTAGGTGATGGGCAGCTCAATCCTGACCCCTCTTCCAAGAGCTGTCATGGAATGGGCTCTGTACCAAGACCCAGTTCCAAGAAGAACTCAGAACAACATGAAAAGATGAGCTGGCTCTGCTAAGTGAGACTGGCAGCCTTTCTAAGGTCACCTGACTTCCAGTCAGGTTAGAGTATGGTCAGATGTCTGGCTACGCCTTTCTGCCAGATAGACTGGCCGTTGACTTCCAGATGAGGCAGGGGCATGGTGCTGGGCAGCTCTCACTGATGTTGGCATTGTAGGTGCAACTCCGGGGAGAAGGCATGCCACCACATCCCTCTAAGCTAGATTGCTCAGTCTGGACCACATCTTATCTGTGGCCAGGAAGTGCAAGTGTTGCCCATGGTAACGAAGGAAAAGCAGATGTTATCACAGCTTCACCTGCTCTGCTCAGCTGAAGACTGTTCTGGCTAGAAGTAGCACTGTGAATAGCCAGCGCCTTTCTATCAATTGATCCCATGGTTAATTCTAGCTCATCAGGAAATATGAAGAACTGGTTCTGATCCTATAATGGCTTTCACTCAGAAGCCTGCTCACTTCTGTCCCAGAGGCAGTCTTCCCCAATCTTTCCTGATATTATACTATGGAAACAGACATGTTTACTTCTAGCCTGTCACAAAAGACCCAGGACAACAACATCCATGTACCTTGTGGTTATTTCTGGAGGGAAATTCAGATGAGATCAAGTGTGTTTAGGGTGACATGGCTGTAGATGGGAGGGAAGGAGGAAAATTCAAATTGGCTATGGTCAGTCACTAACAAAGTGACAAAGACCACTGTCAAAGCCTACAAGCCCACATGACACCTCCCTATGCAACCCAATAACTAGCTTCTGACAAGTTTAGAAATTCAGCAAGCTCAGCAGTTGTGAGCCACAGCAGGCTTCTTTTTCTAAAACTCTGAGCTACCAATTACGTGTAAGCCATGCAGCTGGAATCACTGGGCTGATACTTTGTCTTCAGGTTTGATTACCGGGGGTAACTGAGATGAAGCCACTCTAAGAGATCCCCTGTTTCAAACACATTTCAGTGCTACTGAAACCCAAGGACAAATCAGATGTGAACAGCGGGCAGGAGATTCTGCTCAGCAGTCTGACTCCACATACGCAAAGTGACCCACTGAGATCATGAGAAAGAACACCTTATTTGCCCCGAAATGACAGGCTCCCATTACTGGTTCATTCTATGTCCCAGCAAGCCACATGGCCCTCCAAGGCATTGAATGTGGCACCCTGGGAGTTGCAGGAGCTGTGTAGGTAGCCCAGCACTTTTCAAAGCTCAGTTGCCTGAGTCTAAAACAAAATAAGAATAAGGTTACCGCATTTCTCCTGATGTCCAAGTGCCCTTGGGACAGCATCACAATGGACTTTATATCAGATCTTTCCTTGTGCCACCTTTCCAATTCTGGTGGTGGTGACTATCCTCATGAAAATAGTAATCTTTATTCCTTAGATGTTCACACTATGCTCTGTTCATCATCAGGGAGGTGGCAGTCTCCCTCCAGATCACTTTTTTTTTCTTCTAGTATCTATCATCTTGCAGACCATAGAAAGAACTTTTCCAGAGGCCCCTTCATTGGAATTCACCCATCTGTTGCCATTGCCCAGCCAGGGACAGTCAGACAGGCTTGTTTAGAAGACACTATGACTTGTTCTAAATCTAAAATACTAGACGGGAAGTCTGAGCAGTTGATTGAAGAGAAGTTAGACTTGTGGTATGGAAGCTGGATCCTATAGTTGTCAAAATAGGCAAAGGATGAACAAGAAAATCAGGAAGCCCAGGGAAGATTTTTAACACCTTATCTTGGCTGGTTCTAGATGAGAAGGAGCCTGGGGCAGAATTAGATTCTCCCTATTCTATATGATCTAGAGGAAATAACAATGAATGGTGAACTTCACTATTAGTCTCATTCATAGCAGTCACCCAAGGCTCTTCTTTCTGACTATGTCCTTCTTACTCCTCTTTCTATTCCACTTTCTATTTAGGTACTAATTCTTTAATTTTGCAAATCATTTCTCCATTCTGGTCTAATGCCTTGATCTTGATACCTTAATTTAACTGTTCCTAACATGGTTAGGAACTTATTGTCTTCAATTCTAGTAATTTGAAGCTAAATACTCTACCAGTGACCCAGGCTACCCTTCCATTACATAAGACACATACCCCACAGGCACAGAGCCAGACTTCTGCAAAGCCTACTCCAGTCATCCGAAATTCTTGGGCCACAATAGTCAGAAGGCATTCCTGGGCCTAAGCCTTATATAGGTATACCTTTGAAAACTAATACAATGATTTTGTGCTTTGTGAGTTAGTATCAGTAAACTTGATGGCCATTGATGAGTATTCTAGGGCGTAAAGGTGATTTTACCAGGACACAGCTACACGATGAGGCCTAGCCTAGAAAGCCTTACCATTTGAGGAGAAATTTAGGGAGTTGGGCTTCCCTTATAGCTCAGTTGGTAAAGAATCTGCCTGCAATGCAGGAGACCCAGGTTTGATTCCTGGGTCGGGAAGATCCACTGGAGAAGGGAAAGGCTACCCACTCCAGTATTCTGGCTTAGAGAATTCCATGGACTGTACAGACTCATGGGTTGCAAGGAGTCAGACAGGACTGAGCAACTTACACTTCACTTAGGGAGCTGGAGGCAAAAATCTAAGCAAAGACAGAAGAACATTACAGCTATGAAATGCATAGAGCAAACATTCTTGGCTCCTATTTTAGAGGCGGATCATGATTCTGGTTATCTATTTTGGGAAATGTTTGTATTTTAGCAGGTTCCTCTGATGCACCCATCCTTGTCTTCAGCGCACATGATAATATGGGGCATCAGGTACAATGGCTGGCAGAATACCCCAGCAGAAAATCTCCACTCCCATCATATAAGCAACTGCTTACTCTACCTACTTAACAGTCACATATATTCTTACATGTCTGAAACTAAAAGATAAACCATCATAAATTCATAGTCAGAAGGTAAGTCATTAAGTTAAGACTTCTTTCCCAGAAGGGCACAAAAGAGGATATGAAACAATTTCATTTGAAACTAGGGATTCCTTACTTGACTAGTAAGTTTGCACTTTGAGACATTTTATAAGTGTCTTGAATAAACACATATGTAATGGACTAAATCTTGTCTCCTCAAAATTCATATGTTGTGTCTCTCCACTGTGATGGTATTTGGAGGTGGGGCCTTTGGGTGGCAGTTAGGGTTAGATGAGGTTATAAAGGTGGAGGCTCCATGACAGGATTAGGGTCCTTTTAAGAAGAAGGACCGTTTAAGGATTCCCTGGTGGCTCAGGTCCTGGTAAAGCGTCTGCCTGCAATGTGGGAGACTCGGGTTCAATCCCTGGGTCGGGAAGATCCCCTGGAGAAGGAAATGGCAACCCACTCCAGTACTCTTGAATTCCATGGATGGAGGAGCCTTGTGGGCTACAGTCCATGGGGTAGCTAAGAGTCAGACATGGCTGAATGACTTTTCACTTTCACTTTTTACAAGAAGAAGAAGAAGAAGAAGAAGAAGAAGAAGAAGAGAGATCAAAGTTCTCTACCTGTCTCCTCTATGTGAGGACATGACAAGAAAGTGGCCGTGAGAAATTCAGAAAGAGAGTTCTCACTGGTAAATCAAATCAGTTGGGACTTTGGTCTTGGATTTTCCAGAACTATGAGAAATAAATTCCTATTATTGAAGCCACCATGTCTACCATATTTTCTTTTGGTAGCCTGAGCTAATACAATGGATATCTTTAAACACACACTCAAACAACACAGCAAATACAATTAAAAAAAAAAAGATCTTTTCACATGACCTTAAGACTCATGTACTAAAATCTATCACTTTGCTTCAGTCGGTTATCCAACAACACCTCCTGAGTAACACAGGCTTCAAACATATTCAGCCCAAAGGGAACAAATTTGCTCAGTTGGGTTCGACTCTTTGTGACCCCATAGACTATACAGTTCATGGAATTCTGCAGGCCAGAATACTGGAGTGGGTAGCCTTTCCCTTCTCTAGGGGATCTTCCCAACCGAGGGACTGAACCCAGGTCTCCATCATTGCAGGTGGATTCTTTACTAGCTGAGACACAAGGGAGGCCTAAGAGTGCTGGAGTGGGCAGCCTGTCCCTTTTCCAGCGGATCTTCCCAACCCAGGAACTGAACTGGGCTCTCCTGCACTGCAGGCGGATTCTTTACCGAGTATCAGGGAAGCCTGATTAAATACTGAACCATAAAAATTTGGGTTGTTCACTGGGAAGTCAGAGAGCCACGCAAGAGCTAGGCTGGAGAGTCTACTGTCAAATGTCAAATCGAAAGAGCCACTGGATCAACAACAAAGGCCGGAGTTAGAGAGTAAGAAGTAGTTAGTATTTGGATAGTGCCTTTGGGTTAAATAAGTCAGATTGGACTTATATAGGAAGATAGACCCCCCCCGCCATAGCTCATTTAGTTCCACAACCATATTTTCTAGTGGAAAAAAAAATCCAGTGATAATAAGTGCTATTGTATAAATAAATCTGGGGATACATCTGCAGTAGTGACAAGAGCATGAATGTTAAACCCTAATATATACAGCTACATCTTAAAGTCTAGTTAATGTAAAATCATGAGTCAAAGTGTTGCTGATAAAAACGTTCATTACAACACACATTGTAGGGTTAACCTAACAACTACAGCAAACTCAAGAGATCATTAAATAGCGATTTTCATCGAAAACAAAAATAACAGCAATGAAAAACTATGACCAGCATCAGACAACACGGATGATGTGCTGAACACAAAACATCCTCCCTCCAAATTGTAGGAATTCCAATGACACCTTACTCGTGGGCATGCACAATAGAGCCCTCAAATTGCCAAGTGCTTTGTGGTAGGGACTTCTTAGAAATATCTGCATCAGCAGGAAACCATGGCCATGAGCTAAATTTAGTTTGAATACCCAGTTATAGCAACTCAAACTCATTCAGTAGCTAATTGCTAATAAGCAGCTTACGTTAAAATGAAATACTATGGACCTGTGGGTCATTTGCCAGTAAGAAGCATAGAAGGGATTTGTGTTTGGGGGAGTCTGGGGTTTACCAACAGGAGTCCCCTGAATAACTGAGACCCAGTGGCTACTGTGTGGGGGCCATGCTGTCAGTTGAACTGGTGCAGTTGGGCTCTTGGCTTAGCCTGTGGTTCATGGTCCATAGGATTTTGAACTCCTCCCCACTCTCCACTAAACAACTCTTTCTTATCCTGTAGTGGTTGCTTGGAAATCCCAGTAGGGTATGGCTCCATGAGGAGGTTTCTGCCTCCCTCTTAGGAGAGATAAATGATATTTTTGGCCACACCATTCCTGGTCCAGTGTTCTCTCACATGTAGCCATTCTACAAAGAGAGTATGATGATTGGGAAATAATGTGAGGAAAAAGGAGTCAAATTTTTGGTGGCTATATATGACATGGACATAAGCAAAAAATTGTTTTTATGTCAGTTTCTAGGTGAAATATTTAAAAATTTTTAAACATGTAGCTTCCTCTAACCAAGTTTTAAAAGTGTGATCTCAAAACCAGGAAGCATCAGTTCTATACAGATGGTAGATATTGCTGTTCAGTTGTTAGTCATGTCTGATTCTTTGAAACCTCATGGACTGTAGCACACCAGACTTCCCTGCCCTTCACAATCTCCCAGAGTTTGCTCAAACTCATATCCATTGAGGTGGTGATGCCATCCAACCATCTCATCCTCTGTCACCCCTTCTCCTCCTGCACTCCATCTTTCCCAGCCTCAGGGTCTTTTCCAATAAGTTGGCTCTTTGGATCAGGTGGCCAAGGTATTGGATGGATGGATGGTGGATATAGGCATTAATAAAATATGCTAAGAATGTAAACTTTTTGAAAATCAATTTTTAAGCTGTGTGTTTGGCTGAAGGATTAAAAATTCTGAGCAAAGTTAGCACTTTGCTAAAACTGTTCCATGTTTATTAAGCCACATGTGGGGATCCCCTGTCTCTTGTGAAAGACTATTTAAGCCAGAGGATAAGATGATTGGATGGCATCACTGACTTGATTGACATGAGTTTGAGCAAGCTCTGGGAGTTGGTGATGGACAGGGAAGCCTGGAGTGCTGCAGTCCATGGGGTCGCAAAGAGTCAGACACAACTGAGTGGCTGAACTGAACTGATTTAAGCCAGATAATGTATTTTCAAACTTGAAACATTTATTTTTTACTTAAATGCAAAACATTTAACAAGTATCTGAAGAAATGAAAGTTCTAATAATAGGGAATAATAAAGGACTGTTTATAGTATACCCATTAACACCTGTATATGGTATAGTTTCTATCACAAAGTCAAAAGGAACACAGCATATAAACACATATCAGATATCCTAAGCTAATATTCACTTCCAGGACAACAGCAAAATCCAGAAACAAAATACATTGCATTACCAGACGTTCACATACTCCTAAAAAATGTTTATAATTTGCTGCAAAAGAAACGTACCAGCTGCTTCAGGATGTGGCTAAGACAAGCATGTTCCTGTGGTAACAATTTCCCAAACAAGAAAAAAAGTTAAAAAGACACATCTTTGCTAAGCTTTAGACTACCAGGTCTCCTGATTTATGAAAGCAACAAGATAGATCTGGTTAAGAAATAATTCAGAAACAAATATTTCATGAGTCAGCAAAATCTGTCAAATAAAATGACTTTGAATCTACAATGGAAAGAAACATCTTCACATAGGTTGACAATGTCAAAGAATTTTACTGGACAGCATTGTACGTTAGGTTGACATACTAGATCTAGAATATTCTATGACCATTCAAATAAACATGAACATATATCCTATAAGATTCCAGTCAATCCTTAATAAACAATTATTTTAGTGAGATGTATATATAGAGTCATCCAATTAAAATATGATATACATTTAGTTTCTTGTAACAACAACAAAATCTCACTTTCTTTACTTATCTTTTTATAAAAAGCTTATCTTTTAATATTTTCATATTAGTGCTATTTTACATTTTCCCCTGTTTATTGTCACTCATTCATTTTGTTTGTGCCTTCTTTCAATAAACTGAGTATTTGCTAAATATCAGAAAATGATTGGGTCAAATTATCTTTTTTTCATATTGCACTTACTACCCTTTTAAACTCATTCAATCATATTTCTAAGAATAAAAAGCCTCATTTACCATTCCATTGCTGATGATCTACCCAGAACTTCTATCCCATAGCTATTCATTTCACATCTTTCCTGCTAAAGGTGAGATGAAGTGGGACACGGAAGGCAAGGTGGTCAGGAAAGAAATTAGTACATATTATTTGCATCAACATGTATTGCACTTGGCTAAGTGTTTAACACATATTATCTTAAATAAGTTTCACAACAACACAATAAGGTAGTCATATTGTTATCCCCATTTCATATGTCAGATATGAAATCAAGACTCTTAGCACTTAAGGCCTCATAGTTAGCAGTTGGTAGTGCCAATAATGAGACCTCAGCCTGGTTTATCCCAATGGTCTTTCAATTTCCTCTAAAAGCAACAGGCTATGTAGATAAGTTACTAGGAAAACACATTTAACCAGGGGTTTTGAAGCAAAGGCCACACAAAGAAAACTGCTAATGAATAAATTAAAAACTTCAAAATTCTGAAATCCACCTATTGCATTATGCTTAATTTTATTTCCAACTGCTCTCCAATATTACTGGAAGTAACAGATAATGGATTATGAATAGGCTAGGCATTTAAGTTATTACTATAAATACAAATTAAACTAAGGCAAAATGGAACACAAAACACCCCATTTTATTTAATAGAGATGAAAAGAAATAATATCACAAAATTAATGCTAAAGCAATGGCATTTATTATGTTGCATTCTTTTTAATTATTCCACATTGATAGGTACCTTATATTCTTCATAATCATTGTTATCTAGCAAATTTCTTTTCTCCAGTTCTACAAGGTGTTCTGCAGAGAGCTTAGTTGGTAAATGTCTAAGAGAGGCTTGCTCATATATGGGTTTTCCATGAAAAAACAGCTCCTTCCAATCATGCATCAACTTATATGGGATCAGGCTACAGCAACAAAGGGGAAAAAAAAGGTTGGAAAAAAAAGGTTAAGATAAATCTTAAATCTTAGTCTTTCTATTACCATGTTCATTCCCCAGGCTCTGCTATTTGAGGCCAGAGGTTCCACTTATTATGACATTCTTAACAGCCAGTAAAATAGCTGAAACTTAGTAGTATGAATAAATGAATGTTGCCTAAAGCCATTGGTTCTCCAAACTTGCTTTGACTATGAACTAAAAGCACACTCTATCTAAAAATAATGACCGCTAATCATAAAACTTATGTTCTTTGATTTCCAGCTGTGATACTAAATGGCTGTGCAAACTTTGAATATCATTTAACTGTTCCAATATCAGCGTCCTCTTATGCAAAAGATTGAATATTTTCCAAGGTCCCTTTAATGTGACAGCTAGTTTGCATATTTGCAAGTAATTTGTAATGAAAAAATCTAATGTATGGTGGCTTTTATTGTCACTGAACATCTTGTAACCTTTGCAATTCTTTCTCAGTACTTTTTCTATTTAAGTCAGATAAATGACTTGGAGGTAGTCAGGACAGAGTAATCAAAAAATAGTTCCAAGAGGAACAAAATGTGCAAAGGAAGGAAAGAGTCTAACATAACTCAGATGCATTTCTCTAAAAATAGTGGGACTGGAGCTTGAAATTACAACCGAAGAAGCTGTTATTTCATCCTGAGACATGCTACAACATGCATAAACCTTGAAGACATCATGCTAAATGAAATAAGCCAGATACAAAAGGACAAATATGATTTTACTTATATGAGGTACCTGAAATAGATTCATAGAAACAGAGAACAGAACAGAGGCTACAAGGGGCTGGAGGGGAGGGGAATGGGGAGTTATTGTGTAATGGGTACAACACTTCAGTTTGGGATGATGAAAAATTTCTGGAGATGGATGGTGGGAATGGTTGCACAATAGTGTGACTGTACACTATGCTAGTGAACTTTAAAAGGGTTGAAAGTCACTTTAAAAAGGTTAAAATGATAAATTTTATATTATGTATGTTATGTTTCTCCCCAACAGTAGTTTTAATTAAATGCAAATTTCAAATATATTTTGTTTTCCATTAATAAAATATTTATATTTATTAGAGATTACAGAGATATGAAGTTTATAAATTAATATACTCAGGCATAGAAAAATTCTAGCATAAAAATTATTAAAATGGCATGGGCTCCTGTATTGAAGTAAATGATGAACAACTTATATATTGTCAAAGACTTAATGTGGCAATTACTGAATCAATAGTCTCTTATCTGAATATTGATAATTTTGTTAAGAAGTCTTAACAAAAGTCAGTTCATGTAAGAAGGCTAATACCAAGAATATCCCTGTGCTCTTGGAAAAAAAAATGTTGATAACATCTTGTTTAGGAAAGTACAGAGAGAATAATGTTATCTTGATGGTCAGTAGTAGAGATTAAAAAGATCTTAACATATACGCGTAAACACTGTATTCACTTGCAAGTAAAAGACACTTAAAATTTCAAAGCAAATGATCCCTTCAAAGTTTGATATTAATACTTCTGGAATTTTAAAATCTTGTGTATATTTCATTAAAATAAAAATGACTTCATATAATCAATGTTCTCTCAATATTAATTTTCACAAAGCAAGATTTAGAGAGTAACAGAAGTCAGACTAGTATATGACTCTGTAAAATAATAGTCAAAAACAACACACACAGGAAGTCCTCACCTTACTAGTTAAGTTTGTGCTCTGTAAGGGGATTTTTAGGTCACCTATTTGACACAGAAATAATCCTTCTATGGGTGAAAAGAAAACTCAATGCTGCCCCTAGGACAGGTGCTTACCGTCTAGCCCCTTTCATGCTGGCCCCCAGCCAGCATGGCTGAGACTATCTCCACAGCCTCCCCCAACAGAGGTGCTCATGGAACAGGCGTGTGAGAAAAGTCTGAGACTTTTCTCAGAGTCTCCTTTCCAGGCTCTACCAGGCAGGTGTCAGGGGACCTCTGGCATTCTCCGACTGGCTACTGTGTGACTCTCTCCTAATGTGATCACAAGGTGTTCTCTTTATGTGCATCTTTTCTATTTCTTATAAGGATACCAGGCATCTTTAATGAAGGCCCCACCTTCCATGGGTATCACCCGATCTTAAATAATCAGTGATGACTATTTCCAAACAATGTTACATTCTGAGGTATGGGACTGGTAGAACTTTTAATATAGCTTTCTGGGGCAGGGGAACAATTCAACCTGTACATAAGCATTTCTATGTTGCCTTTTTTAGACACAAAATTTCAAAGTAAAGGACCTTTAAAAACTTATGCTATTAATATCTCTGGAAATTTCATTTTATATATTTCATTTTTACATTAAGTTTGAGTTCTCCCTGGTTTTTGGAATGATGCATGGCTTCTTTTTTAATTGAAGTCTGCATATTTTTAGATTATGCTGTGACACTCTGGATCATGTATAAACCTTCTGTCCTAGCTGTTTTTTCCTGATATTGCTTGAGCAAGGGAAGGAGAAGGGGCCATCATGCTACTGACAGGTGTGGGCAGAAGTCCCCATGTGGACCTCCTCATTACCAGAGGGAAGCACATCCTTGTTGCTGATGAAGGAGGTGGCAGTTCTGCCCCCCTACAAGGTCTCTACCACAGTGCGGGTGGCCTTGTGACCACCTGGCGATGGTGAAGGTCCTGACCTACCTCCCTTGGCTCCTCTAACATGACCCTCGTGGGGAGGGAGCAGTGGTCGGTCCTGCCTGGTGGGGGCGCAAGTCCATGCTTCCTACCTGGCCTCTGGGCTGGTACCCTGGTGGGGGTGATGGGGTCCTTTGTTACAGTCTTGTGAGGGTGGAAGACAGGCTCCTTCCTTGCCTTTGCTGGCCAAGGTGGAAGTGGGGCTACATTTTTCTTGCATGTGATAGTTGGAAAAGACTGGTTATCGTCTGAAAGTTTTCCATCTTGCTAGGCTGATCCTTAACCGACTAGAGACAGCAGGTTCTTGTTGGGGTTATTTTTTGTCTACACCATTAGTATCTCTGTTTCCAGAATATTCAGTTCTGATCTGGGATGTGTGAGGCAAAAAGAGAAAGAACTGAGGAAGCTCATCACAGAGTCCTGAGGTCATCAGCCAGTCCCACTCCTTCCTTCCAGGAATCAGAGCCTTCTTATGCATGTTACATTCACAATGTCCAGGGTTTTTCACTGTACTTAGTAGGGGGAATAAGGAAAGGGGCATCCACTCCATTTTCCCACAGTAGAACGAGATTTCTGTTTATGTTTTAATTTTGAATTATGAGCTTTTAACTTACAGAAATCAAGCTGAACTTCCCCCACTCTGAATTATCTTTTTATGTTTTTATATTTAAATCCACTATATTCTATTTTTTATTATATTACTCTATTTTTTATCTTATTACTCTATTTTTTATCATTATAATGCATTGTATCACCTTTCCTTTTTAACCCTTTTGTAGATTACTTCTTCACAATTTTATTCTAATTTCAAAATTTTCAATTTATATTAATAGGAAAAAGTATTTTAAAACATTTACTCCTTAATTCATTTCCATTTTTAGTCTTATTTTTCTTTTCTCAATCTTGTACCCTTATAGTTTTATCTTCAAAATGTCCTCATCATCATGTTATTTCATTTAGTAGTTTTTATACAGTATTATGTCAGAAACATACTTTTGAACTGTGGGGTTGGAGAAAACTCTTGAGAGTCCCTTTGACTGCGAGGAGATTAAATCAGTCAATCCTAAAGGAAATCGGTCCTGAATATTCATTGGAAGGACCAATGCTGATGCTTGAATACTTTGGCCACCTGATGGGAAGAACTGACTCACTGGAAAAGACCCTGATGCTGGGAAAGCTCAAAGGCAGGAGGAGAAGGGGACGACAAAGGATGAGATGGTTGGATGGCATCACCAACTCAATGGACATGAGTTTGAGCAAGCTCCCAGAGTTTGTGATGGACAGGGAGGCCTGGCGTGCTGCAGTCCATGGGGTCGCAAAGAGTCAGATAAAGAGAGACTGAACTGAACTGAAGTCAGAAACACGGCTGTCAGGGTGAGAGCAGTGGAAAAAGTTCCTGTCAAGGCCAGAGGTGATGGGATTGTCTCCCCATCTTCTGTTGACCCTGAATATCATGGGGCCTTCATTCTTTTCACTGTGGGTTTTCAAGAAGATCTCAGTCTGGATAACATTAAAAGTGTACAGACTTGAGTGGAGTGCCTTATCCTTTTGCTTTCGCTGAGATCTGCAGTGATATCACTCCCCTTCAGCTTCCAGCAAAGGACGTCTCAAGAAATAGGTCTCTGAAGCCAGATGTCATATTTGCTTAAAAGCTGTTGCTGAGATCATTCTCTACAGATCCACTACACTACTCATTGCATCTAAACTGAGAACCAAGAAGAGTGATGTATTCTGTAAAGAGCTAGAAATGGGAATTAGACATCATATGACAACCTGTGTTGCCCTTTATACTTTTTCTACCTGGAAGCGCAGATAAAATTTGCAGCTCAGTTGCAGGAATTGGCATATCTACTGACACCTGTATAACTATGTTTCAATGTATTCCTTGTATTTAACTTGCTACTTTATCTGGCAGTGCTAAATGGCTTGCAGGATCTCAGTTCGCCAATCAGGGATTTAATCCAGGTCACGCCAGTGAAAGCCCAGAATCCTAACCACTAGAAAACCGGGAAGTCCTATCCTTTGTTCTGATTTTGGCATACAGTGTATTCTTAATATTTTATGTACTGTTAAATGTTTCCTTCCAAATAGGTTGACTCCTTTTAGAAAGAATGTGCAATGAAAAGTGATTTTGATTAGTAAAACAAAAAACTTTAAGTAATTCCAGTCTTCTAGGAAGTTCCTAATATTTTAAATAAATTATTATAGTTATCTTGTAAATCATAGAGAACTTAGACACAAGTTTTAAATGTTAAAAGACATAACTACAAATTAAATCAGGCTAGTCACTGGGTGAAATAAGTCTGTAATCAAGGTATTCTGGACCCCACTTCTTAGTCTTCCAAGAATAATCACTGTCTCTATTTACTCACCAATTTAGTGTCACAATCTTACCCTTTTTTCATTTTCTGTGGTGTCTCTATTGTATTAACTATAAAAAAACAACACTTACTTATTTGTCAACAATCGATAGTCTGCCACCTTAGTGGACAAATCAAGTATTTGATCCAAAATTTCTGCACATATTGAGTAATGCTTTTTGTAACGAGCTTGAGCTCTTTCTATGGCAATCTGCTCATGAATTTCCTTATCTCTGAGGGCTTGTTCTTCAAAATCAATCTTGGCTTGTCTGGCTAAAGCCTGAGAAGAAAAAGACATATACTTTAAAGATTTGATTTTGTATTGGGGTGTAGCCAATTAACAAACAATGTTGTGACAGTTTCAGATGAACAGCAAAGGGACTCAGTCATACATATACATGTATCCATTCTCCCCAAAACTCCTCTCCCATAAATCACCATAACTGGACAGTAATTCAGGTAAAAATAATGTCATCATTTCAATAGCTAAAAAAAAAAAATCTCTAAATAGAATGAAGCCTTCTTTTATATCAGAAAAAAGATAAATCATAAGAGAGCACTTTCTCCTTAATACATTAAGAACTAAGTAGGATGGTAAAGACAATATTAGAAATAGTTCACCCACAGCTTATGTTATCAGCAAAACTTAGTGCAGAGAAAAGTGTGCTGCATGGATTAATGATAAATTAGATCTGAAGTATTTAAGAAGTCCTGAGTTCATGGGCTGCAAAGAGATTTGGGGGTCACAGAGAAACAGGTAGGTTATGCAGGGCACCAAGCATGGCTGGCTGCTTCGTGCCCATCTCAGAAGACTAATTAATCTGACATATCTACTCTGGCTAAAGCCCTATGTCTTTTAGCAGGAGACTTCTGGAATACTGATTTATACTTAGAAAATATTTTGGAAATCCCCTGATTATACTGGCTTGAGAATATCACACATTTGCCAACAAATGTTAAATGTGTTTAGACAATGAAGCCTTCTCTGTTACAGCCTTAATAAATTGATAAATTCATAAAGACATGTATTTATATAGAAAGTAAGAAAATATTTAAATGGTTTGGCATCACCCTCTGCTTGGTTTGCACTCTTATTTTGTTTAGGGAACCCTTGCCTTACACCAAGTAAAAGGCCAAACTTGGCACAACCAAATGTTTTCAAATAGTTATACCAACTCCTTGAGAAATTCAATCATGTGCTGACATGCTCCAGAAACAAGACCTGCCTCCTTCAAGGTAACCCAATGAATGTACAATGGTGGATAATGTGGGCCTAGAGAAGCTGTGGTTGAATTCAAGCCTCAGTTTGTACAGGAATCAAGTCCTAGCTGCAGGCATGGCATATGTCCTCAGTTGCTGGACTGTAGCCCGCCAGGCTTCTCTGTCCATGGGATTTTCCAGGCCAGAATATTGGAGTGGGTTGTCATTTCCTACTCCAAGTGATCTTCTCAACCCAGGAATTGAACCCACGCCTTCGGAATCTCCTGCTTTGGCAGGCAGATCTTTATCACTGCACCACCCGGAAAGCCCCACTAGCTACAGGACCTGTGCCAAACTGAAACCTCCTACATCTCCATCTCTTCACTATGAGGCTGGGATGGTATAAAGACTTGGCATGAACAGAAATTAACTGTGAGAGCAAACACCTTAGTCACAAGGGGCAAAATACACGACAATGGGCTGCACCTGTCCACTGACTTCAAGGGAAGCTTCATTTGTTTTGTTATTGCTGCTTTATTTTGTGAGTTTGCTTTATTTTTGCTGGGAAAGGAGTTAGCTTAGGTGACCTGTAACGTAGATCCTGAACATTTGGCAGGTTTAGGAACTACACTAGTACTTATTATTGTTGCTGTATTGCTTCGTAGCCCCTGTTGTCATGGAGAAAGCACCTGGTTTAAGCGTGTAAGTATGCTTAAGGCATGCTTCTCAAAGTGTGAAGGGAAGAGAAATCTGATAGTCTAGGAGCAGTCAGGTGAGACTTTATGGAGAGAGCCAGTGAAACAGGTTGTGAGGTGGGTTTACTGATACTATGAAGAGCCTGGAAGGCATGTGGAATATTTAGGATGCCATGGAACGCAAACCTTGGGAGCCCAGGAATTCCTTCTGCAGGAACAAAGCAGATTCCTCTCAGTTCTCCTCCCTCCCTCCCTCTTCACTCTCTCTTTCCTTCCAGGCCTTCCTTCCTTCTTTTTAAGCCTCAGAGTCTGCTATTTCTACCCCTTTCTCCTCCCCCATGCTAAACCCACCACAATTTCCGGTCCCATCACAGCAAAGCAGGTTGCAGCCCTAAATAAAGAAAGAAGGAAAAGGAGAAAGGAAATCTGTGGGAGGCAGTAAATCTCAGTGGTGATGAGCCTAGACTCTGAGAGCCACTGTGCTCTGGCTTCTCCACCAAGCTGGGCAACTTCGAGCTTTCTAAGTTTCATTTTCCTGACGTGTGATATGTAGATACAAGCAGGGTCCACTGCCAATGACGCTGTGAGAATGACAATGCATGAGATGAACACAACTCAATGCTGGACTCAAAGTGAATACTCACAAGTGGTAAACATTATTGCAATGAATTATTGCTAATAATAGCAGGTGGCACTGAAATTTGAAATCAGGAACTGGTTTTTTGTTTGCTTTTTTAGGAACTGTTTTAATTAAAATAGAATTGATGCCCAATTGCCTTCAAAAAAGAGATCAGCATATTTAACTTAAAAGCAAAACCACCTCCTGATGGTGAGAAACATGACATTCTCTCTCTTTCTCCCTTTCCTCCTCACTCCCTACTTAGGCACCAGCCACCCCTACTGCAGGAGGTAATACATTCAAACTGTGAAAACAAGTTATCTCAGAGGGAAGGGTGCTGGGGAGGCAGATGCCTCAGCTTTGGGAAAAAAGAATCATGGAAGAGAAAGGGATATGATTTTTTTTTTTTTTTCAGGGGATTCAGGGCCTCACAATTCTGACCTCTGAGGCTCTGGCAGACCGAGTGTCTCAATCCTCTGAAATGAGTTCAAGCTAGGTAAAGAGAGAACAGGTCATGCTGCTCATCACAGTGAGAGCAGTCCTGTTCCAAGAGACTAGGACTTTGCTATTCTTCACGGAATTAACTAGGCTTGTGAAAAAACATATTTAGTAAATAGGCACTTATTTCTCATGTAAGCAAATGCCACTGAACCCATTCAAGTTTACTCTCGTCAAAGAAGAGAAATGAAACAATCCTCCAAATAATTCACCCCTTGAAGACACTTGAGATTACGCAGGTCTAACACAGGGGGTGTGGCTCCCCGCCCTCCTTCAAATGTTTTGGCTATATCTGTTCTACAAAGGCAAAAGCACTGGTCAGTTTCTTGACTCTTGGGAATATAGTACTTTCCAAATGGTATTTCTCAAAATTGCAATTCATTTTCATGAAATATCACAGTGAAAACCATGATCAGCATGGTTTATAAAGCATATTTATATTGATTTATACATAAAGCATTCCCTTCCTATTTTCTGTAAGGTTTTCTCTTCTGCACAGCCTGGTTTTATGAATATTTTATGACAGTAAAGACAAGCTATCTAAAATGCTTCCCATGTGAGTTTTATACTTCTTCAATCAAATCCAGATTAATGGATTGTATAAATTTGAAACAACCCCAATAGGAAAAAGATGAGAAGTGATCCATGTAAATCCATCGATAATATAAATCTATTTTGGTTATTGAAACTGTACATATAAAAATAAGAAAGATGCTAATATATCAAATAACTAAAAGATTGATACTTTGACTTTCAGAGCTATAGAGGACCTTAACACAATGATATCATGTTGGCCAAGAGCATACATGGCACCCACACTGTGGCTTCTGTAACCGTTCTCAACTACAATGAACCAGGGTCCCCTGTAAAAATGGCTTGTTCTAGTTCTGAGGGAAAAAGACTACAATATGGGCCTGGGAAATCTTGTTTTACTAGAAAGCAAGGTATTGCTTATTAAAGACTCATGGTGTCTTATAAAAAGGAGACAGCTTGAAAATACTCCCATTTTCTGAGAACAGTATTCACCTAAAATAATGAACACTAATAACATCCCAGTAAACTTAGTGGAGTTTAAAGAAAAAGAAAGTCCTCTATACATCTAAAAAACAACAGTAAATGACTCAAGGAGATGAAACTTAGATTATCTTTTTTTTTTTTTTTTTTNTTTTTTTTTTTTTTTTTTTTTTGGACAGCAACACTTTATACCTGAAGAAAATGGAATAAAGTGTTTAAGATAGTCAAGGGAAGAAAATGTGAACTAAGGATTTTTACACAGGGCAAAACTGACTTGTATAAAAGGCACATATTGTTATCAATACACAAGCACTCAGGGAACAGTGTTCCCATGAGCAGTTGTTGAGGAATCTACTGGAGACCTTCAGACAACCAAAAAGACCAGAGAGACGTGGGCACAAGACCTGGTGGTGAGTGTGAAATATCTGAAGAATCAAGACTGAAGGACAACAGTATAGTATGCAGATGCTATGTGCGCCATTGGCGCAGCTGTACAAAAGTAAAAACAGGGAGATAATAGAGAGATCATATAAAAAACTGACTCATGAAATGACTGGCACCTAAATGCAGCCCTGTTTACCTTGACATGGTAGAAAGGATCAAAAGAAACCTTAGAAGGATTGTTAAGGGAGGTATTGTTTACCGCTTCTCGATCAAGAGCATCCTGGAGGTCTTTAAGCCGTCTTTCCTCATATTGCTTTTCTCTGAAAATTCTGTTTTGCCATAAAACTTCCTTTTCGTGCCGAACGTGCATGAGCTGCACAGCGATCCTGCGCTCCTGCTGGGACTGTCGCATCAGCCGGTTGATCAACTGCTCCTCCCGATAAGCCTCCTGGAAACACCATTGCAAGAGCCAGTCATTTGTCAAGGCCACGTCCACTTTTGCTCAGCCCACTGAGCTGAGAAGCCTACACATCATGTGTAAGGCATAGTATGAACCTGCATCTGTTTTGCCATTTGATTTCACGTCAAACGTGGCAAAAAAATTCAAGCTATAAAAATGAAAATTTCCACCAAGGGCTGTATAATTTTGGTATCCAGAAGCATATAGTCTTGCAACTCAGTCATCTTAAATGAATGATTACTTCCTTTAAAATCTGATAAAAAATAATTTAGGTAATTGTTTCAAGGTTTTATAAACAAAGGGTAACTCTCAAATTATAAGCATGTTTTCAGAAACTTGGAATTCTGCTCTATGCACTCAATATAAATACTAGTGGTAAAGACAAATGCAGATATTGTCTGGCTGAGAATGGCAGATCTGATAAGCTCCCAGCAGGGCTGTCTCAATTTCTACATGATAGCATGGGGAGACTGGAGAAGAGGCTAAGAGGAAATGACCTTCGGTTTACCTTAGAAAATCCAAGAGTGGTTGTAACCTGAGAGAGAAACTAGATGCACGCGTCCCTTGGCTATTTTAAGAGAAAGAAGGGGAATAAGCATTAACAGTGGAAGAAGCATTAAACTGGCAATTGGAAGCCCTGGCCATTGCAGCTCCACCTCTACCACTGATTGGCTGTGTGGCCTTGGGCAAGTAACTTGGATTTTCAGGGATTATTTCTTGACAGGTGAAATGAGGGGTTTGGGTAGAAGATGGTCTCCAAGGCATCTTTAAGTTCTATCAGTCTGTCTAAACAGAGACACCATGTGGAAGGAGGAGGTAATTAAATTTCTCCAGGGGGAAGACTTGGAAGAACATCTACATGTTAGAGTTGTCTATTTAACACTAGATGGTAAAGCATCTGCCTGTAAAGCAGGAGACCTGGGTTCAATCCCTGGGCTGGGAAGATGCCCTGGAGAAGGGAATGGCAACCCACTCCAGTATTCTCGTCTGGAGAATTTCATGGACAGAGGAACCTGGTGGGTGCAATCTATGGGATCACAAAGAGTCAGGCACAACTGAGCAACTAACTCGTTCGCTTTCAATCCAGTTGTTTAGGAATAAAATCTGGCATCACTAACGACACTGTTTCAGATTAAGGGAGAAATACTATATATATTTTCAGAATCAAGATACAAACAACAACACTCTATGGAAAGTAGCAAAACTTGAACTTGGGAACTATATAAAAATGTAGATTAAATAAAAGTTCAATTGAAAATAAACATAAACATTTTTCTATTAGTAACATATCAAATAAAAAATACAATCATGGATAACTTTGAAAACTGTTTCATCTAGTTTTAACATTCTAGATGTTTTAACATTAATCATTTGTTGCCTGTGTTGCCAGTGGAAGTGAGGCAGAATGTAAAAATGACCACAGGTTCTTCAGCTTTCTTCATCCATAGCCTTGCAGTGCTATCCTGCAGATATTCCCATCAAAAAGCAGAATCTATTTCTCCACTTCTTAATTGGGTAGGGGGTGGCCTCTGAACTGGCCAATGGGACATTAGTGAACACAAAATAAAATGAAACAAAACACTTAGGACCTGACTTAATTCTCCTGTGACCTCTGCCACTGTTACCACATTTTCTGCTGTTAGAAAATGAGAAACCATAGATGGAGAGATACTAGCCTTCTCGGTTGGAACTGATGAAACTCTCTCAAGTCAGCCAGCCTCAGCCAGCCTCTGAGACAGGACAGGTAATACCAGCAACAGACCCATAGCTGATCCCTGCCCAAGTTACCTACCACATTTGGGGGTGGTCTGTGATAGCACAGTCACAGTCATATTTATTAAAAGTATAGCTTGATTTATTATTCCAAGTGAATTCTATACTTAATGTGGAATATTAATGTGGAATATGTTTGGCTGTGTTTATACGGCAAGGCAACTTGGTTGTTGAGATGAGAGCTGGTCATTCTGATGCTTATAAGAACTGGACTGGTCAAACAGGTCTTGGCTATTGCTTAAATGACAACATATTGTGATTAAAAAGGAAAGGAAAATTACTGTTGAATGGCTGAGTCAACGTTACATATATAAAACTTCAGTATGAAGAACCACCAACTGTATTAGGACTTGTACTAAAAAGTTGAGTGAAAAAGATTTTTTTTTGTTACATTGTACAAGTAGTTCATCTTTTAGAAATAGACTTTTCCTCAAAATTTCATTAGAATGTGGGACACATTTTCTCACAGAAAGAAAATATGTTATGTTTAGGTGTTCAGGGAAGCCTACAGATGTCTGTTTAACCCATAATGTACATGAACTAGTCTACATCTGCAATGAATAAAACAGAAAATAATAAAAGTCACATTTCTCTTTTAACTGTATATAATTATATTTGGGGAGGATTTATACAGATACACAATCCAAAACATGCTCAGTTTGATTGTCAAGACCTCTGCCTTTCCCATGAGTTGGAGCTAGGAGCTAACTCTGTTGCATATCATTGCTTTAATTCTCTAAATATGCCCAAGTAGCTCTCTTGGAGGATAGCAGCTTCACCAAACACAGAGAAGAAGCAGCACAGAGATGGAGTTCCTTTAGTGGAAATATCATTAGTCAGAGAACCAACTTTCTTCAGTGTCCCTTAGGTTGCTAGATCCCTGAACAGATCTCTAGCCAGAGACTGAAAAAATTGAAGCTGTGAACATTCTGGTAGAAAGTGACAGAATCCAGAAAGCATTTATTCACCCAGTTTTCTAAGTAACATTTCTCAGTAACATTTTCTAAGTAAATGTCAGTCCTGAATTACAAGCAAAAAAGTAGAAAGAAAAAACATAGCAGCCAACACACAGCTGTTTTATAATATAAATGAAATGTGCTCAAAATCTCACTGCTCGTTAATGAAACGTGAAATAGGTAGTTATTTTAAAATCTACTTTTTAATCATCTAATTTTCATAACCTATAATTCATATAATGAAAAGAGTGACTAACAAGCTGAGTAAAAATATTAATAAATGTGAATTCAAAGTAAGAAATTACCTTTCAGCACAAAGAGATGGCAGAGTTATTCTTTGAATTTTTCACTAAGAAAGGAGTGGCTCCATGGATAAACAGTATTACTTCTTCATAATGTATATGAAGCCTGGATTTCTCTTCAGTTAACAGAACACCACTGAGTAGACCAGATGTAATTAGATGAATAAAAGAAATGCCTTCAAATGGTCCTTCATATTTCAGACACAGAGATTTGTCCTGCTTACATTCACAGCCTGAATCACCTTCCTCCCCATCTGTTCTTCTTACCACCTTCTGTATCATAGCTAATGACTCCTCCATGAACTCAGCTGCCCATGCCAGACACCTGGCTTCTCATCCCACTGTTCACTCCTCCATGTCTAATGAGTCGGTTATTCTCATTGATTTTACTTCTCAAATAGCTCCTGAAGCCACTTCTTTCCATCACTACTGCCACGACCCTAAATGTAAACTGGAATAATTCCTTACATGGATTACAGAAACAGCTCTAACTTGGTCATCCCTCCTGCCATCTATTTTTAAAAGTGAAGCCAGACTGACCTTCCTAAATGTCAATCGGGCCCTGTCACTCTTGTTCCCCTTTGCACTCAGGATAAAGTATCCTTTTTCCCTCTTTACAGCTGATAAAGCTTATGATGGCTTGGCCTCTGGGGACTCCTGACAGATGACATTTAATTTGCTAAAAGCCCTGAGCCATCCATGCAACATTCTCTCTGAAGACACATCTGACCTTCCACTCTCTCTACCTCTGCTGGAAACTAACTCCTCACCCTACACCCAGAACCAGCCCCATCTTCAATTGGCTAACTTCAACCCTCCCTCATGCTGCTGTGCTCTCCTAGAAACCAGCTCTGAGGCAGGCCAGAGCTGGACTCCCTTCTCCTCACTTTCTCTGCACCTCCACACTCCAGCGTAGTTGGTTGCTTACAGATCCTCCCCAAACAGCAAGCTCTGCGAGAGACGGTTTCCTGTTATTCTTGTTCACTGTTGTATCCCAGGCCTAGCACAAGTTCCCAGAGCATAGAAGAGATCCAGTAAATATGTGTTCAATGTGAGATTTGATCAGTGATTCTCAATTCATAGCTGAATCAAATCACCTAGAGGGACTGTTAACACAGATGATGGGCTCCAAGCCAGAGAGCTGTGATTTGAGTTTCTGACTCAGAAGGTCTGAGGTGGGACCTAATTATTCACATTCCTAACAGTTTCCTGGCGATGTTGATGCTGGTCCAAGGGCCACACTTTGAGAACCACTGGAGTAGATCAAACTGACAGGACTAAAGAATTTTCCATGTTTTCATGTAAACACTCCCTTTTTGATAATATCAACTGATACAGAAAAAAATTTGAAAAAATTCAGTATCCTTTCATGATAAAAATTTTCAACAAATTAGGTAAGCAATGTAACTCAACATAATAAAGCTCATATATGATAAGCTCACAGTTAACATCACACCTAAAATATGATGCTAAAAGCTTTTAGATTTTCACCATTCCTCAAACATCAAAAATAAGACAAGATGTCCACTCTCTCCACTTCTATTAGTACTGGAAATCCTAGCCAAGGAAATTGGAAAGAAAAAGAAAAAAACAGGTATCTAAATCAGAAAGGAGGAACTAAAATGTCTCTGTTTGCAGATGACATGCTTTTTACATACAGAAAACTCAAGACTTTCAAGGAAAAAAAATGTTAGAACCAAAAAACAAATTCAGTAAAATTGCAGGGTACACAAAATAAACATATAAAAATAATTTTTATTCCTACACACTAACAATGAATTATCTGAAATGAAAAAAAAAATCTCATTTACAATAGCATAAAAATTAAAAAAAATATGTAGGAATAGATTCAACCAAGGAGGCAAAAGATCTATACACTGAAAATATATATATATGCATCTCACATTTTCTTTATATATATAAATATTATATATATACACACATAAATATATGTATATATGTATATATTTATATCTAGAATGAGCTTTTCAGGTGGCGCTAGTGGTAAAAAACCTGCCTGCCAATGCAGGAGGCATAAGACATCTGTATTCAATCCCTAGGTTGGGAAGATCCCCTGGAGGAGGACATGACAACCCACTGTGGGCTATGGTCCAGAGGGTCACAAAGAGTCAGATACGAATGAAGCGACTTAGTGCACATGCATGCATATACAGAATGTGATCACTCTTAAAAAAAAAGAAAATCTTATCATATGTGATAGTATGTTTGAACCTGGAGAACATTATGCCAAGAAAAATAAGCCAGACATAAAGAGACAGATATTACATAATCTTACTAAATGTGGAATCTAAAAAAGTTGAACTTAAAAAAGTAGATCTTAAGTATTTTCACCAAACACACACACAAAAATGGTAACTTTTTTTTTTTGTTAAAGTGATGGGTGTGCTAACTAGTTTGATTATGGCAATCATTTCACAATGCATACATATATCAAAACATCAATTATATACTTTAAATATATACAATTTTTATTTGTCAATTATACCTCAGTAACCTCAGATATGCAGATGACACCACCCTTATGGCAGAAAGTGAAGAAGAACTAAAGAGCCTCTTGATGAAAGTGAAAGAGGAGAGTGAAAAAGTTGGCTTAAAGCTCAACATTCAGAAAACTAAGATCATGGCATCTGGTCCCATCACTTCATGGGAAATAGATGGGGAAACAGTGGAAACAGTGTCAGACTTTATTTTTGGGGGCTCCAAAATCACTGCAGATGGTGATTGCAGCCATGAAATTAAAAGACGCTTACTCCTTGGAAGGAAAGTTATGACCAACCTAGACAGCATATTAAAAAGCAGAGACATTACTTTGCCAACAAAGGTCCGTGTAGTCAAGGTTATGGTTTTTCCACTGGTCGTGTATGGATGTGAGAGTTGGACTATAAAGAAAGCTGAGCATGGAAAAATTGATGCTTTTTTGAAGTGTGGTGTTGGAAAAGACTCTTGATAGTCCCTTGGACTGCAAGGAGATCCAACTAGTCCATCCTAAAGGAGATCAGTCCTGGGTGGTCATGGGAAGGACTGACGTTGAAGCTGAAACTCCAATACTTTGTCCACCTGATGTGAAGAGCTGACTCATTGGAAAAGACCCTGATGCTGGGAAAGATTGAGGGCAGGAGGAGAAGGGGATGACAGAGGATGAGATGGTTGGATGGCACCACTGACTCAATGGACGTGGGCTGGGTCAACTCCGGGAGTTGGTGATGGACAGGGAGGCCTGGTGTGCTGCAGTTCATGGGGTCACAAAGAGTCAGACACGACTGAGCGACTGAACTGAACTGAATTGAAACCTGGGATAAAAAGTTCCCTTTTTCCTCTAAAAGTAACAATAGATATACATGGTTGCCATAATTTTTAGATTCCTATTTTTTCAGTATTTTTTTATTGTGGTAAAATATATGCAATATAAAATTTACCATTTCAGCCATTTTCAAGTGTACAATTCAGTGTACAATTAAGTAAATTCACAATGTTGTATAAGCATCACCAGATTTTAGATTCTTTGGTAAGTGTTTTATGTAGTTTTTTTTTCCTGAATGCATTTGCTATCATGGTGTGAAGATGAAACGCTGATTCAGAGTAGTGCATAATACATACAGAAGATATACATAAGAGTGTATAAAAGACTGTATTTTGTAAAAATTTCAAGCACTTTTATTCAATCAACAACTAAACATCGTACCTCTTGGGCTTCATGAGCTATTAACTGATCCATTAAGAGTCGCCGCCGTCTTTTCTCCCTTTGCTCTCGTGCAAAAGCATCTTCTTCAAGGCGCTTTTGGATTTTTTTAATGTAGTCATCATCTGAATAAGTGTTTAACAAATCGGTGGTTGTCTGGCCTGCTGTATCTAGAGACGTCTTGGATGCACTAAGGACAACAGTTTTTATTTAGATTTTAAAATACAACTCAATCATCCACTGCTACTTGTGACTACAGGGGAAGACCTCAGCACCCTTAGGTGCTCTGTTCATTTATTAATACAAGCATTAAAGCAAACATTAGAACTTCAGTGTTCAGCTTTAAATATGACTTATAATGTTATTCAAAAGACAGGGAAACATTATTATGGTATTCAGGGATTAAACAGTCATCAATTCTCATATAGACCAAAGTGTTTTTATGAAAGCAGTTAATTTCATGTTTAACAAAGTAATAATCACACATGTTCTTTCCTAATCTGAGTATACGCAGTTTTATTAAATCAAAGATCAAACTCATTTACATAGTTGAATCAAAATTCTTAAATTATAATTAGTTCTACTTAATAATCACATATTTATGGCACAGATCATATTTTATTATAGTTCATTATTTCTATATTTGCTGCTTCCAGCTGAACTCTGAGCACAGAAGAAAAGTATACTATTTTACTTTTCTCTGTACCTCTGCCTCACAGTAATGACATGTAGATGATGTTTGCTAAATTTCAAATCATATGCTAAGAAGCACTACACAAGTATAATACGATTTAAAAAAGATACACACTGAAATTCTGGTTATTTTACCAGCAGGTGCTCAACCTTTGACTGTATTCTGTCAGCTGAGAGTCATTCAGCAGAAATTACGTAGCTAGCAAAGCCTCAGGAAGATCAAAGACAAATTTTAACTCGATTTACTAAGTTCAGTATAATCAATATTCATGACTATTAATTTATGAAATTAATATTAATTTATGGAAATATAGCATAATTTTTTTAGATCCTTCCTCAAAATTCTTATTATATTTTCACTTAAATGTGACGTTTAAAAGAGTTTGCCTTACATTGAGCATGGGTTAATAGGTCTCTCTCAACACTGTTTGGCTGCTATCAATATACTTAAGATATTGATTCTCCTTTGTTCGTCAATCAGTCTATCCAACCATCCATACATACACCCATCTTCTGTGTTATGCCAATCAAGGCCTGAAGAAAGTTACATGATATTTTCTTGAATAAATATTCATTTTATGAGATACGGGTTTCTTGAGGGCAATAATTATGTTTACTTTATATCTGTTAAGCCTCCATAGAGTTAATGATTGTATGAGTGTGATTATTAGTGATAGGAACCTTGGGCAAATTCATGTGTGTGTGTATATATTTTAAAAAGCAGTTGTTAGAAGGAAACTAAAGTAAATCTGTGAATCCAAATGTCAAATTACAGCAGCCAACAGCCTCAGAAAAGAAACAAAGAACAAAAGAGCGGGTGGCATTTACTATTTGTCTTAAAAAATAAAGAAATAGTATACATGCGGGAAAAGCAGCAATGGTTGTTCTTGCATTGCTCTCACTGAGCATTCATTTCATCCTTTCACAAAAGAAATGACAGACTTTGAAATGACATCCATGAGAAAGTGTTTTGGGAGCAGGCTTTGAAAGGGGCAGCTGCAGAAATTGCTCCTTAGGTCACCTTAAAAGATGATTTTAGTGCCTTCTGCCATCAAGTAGTGTGAAATTTCTGGATGAGTCCAGACCATGTTTGATTCTAAGCTAAGGATTCAGAATGAACTAAAGAAGTAGTGGTCAATAACAGGGATTAAGAAAAGCAATATTGTACCATAACTTTTTTGTTTCTTTTAAAGTTTGCTCTAGGCCAGTGTCTCCCAGCATTTTTTATCTGGGGGTCCATCAGAGGAAATGCCCTTTGTGAAGTGTACTGGAAGGGATTTGGAGTCACCGCTGGGGTTGCTCACAATCAGAGGTGACTGGTCCAGGGACTCCAGGGGCCCAGGCCCTATCCTTCTGATCTGAGAAGTGAGGGTGTCCATATCTCATGGGCCCTGGGGGTAAATCCCTGGCAAGACCAAGTGGGGGATTCTGCAGAGAAAGGACTTGAGATAGACACAGTTATTTCCCTCCCTTTTCCTTCAAAACAGAGCCCCAGTTTTATTCAGGGTAACAACAAACTCAGATGAAGACTACAATTCCCAGTCTCCCATTCTGCTAGATTATGGCCATGTAACTGAATCCTGGCCAACAAGGTGTACGCAGAAATGTTATGTGGGCATTCTGGGAAGGCTGGTAAAAAGAACTATTTTAGACTGGAGATACCCACTTTATGCCTGGGGCTTCCCAGGTGGTGCTAGTGGTAAAGAACCCACCTGCCAATGCAAGAAACATAATGAGATGTGGGTTCAATCCCTGGGTCAGAAAGATCCCCTGGAGGAGGACATGGCCACCCGATCCAGTATTCTTGCCTGGAGAATCCCATGGACAGAGGAGCCTGGTGGGGTGCAGTCCATGGGGTTGCAAAGAGTCAGACATGACTGAAGCGACTTAGCATGCACTTTTTGCCTATCCTCCTTCCTGATATTGGAACATGGGCCAAATGTTCAGGGGCCTAGAAGCTAATTTACATTGTGAATGTAACTCTAAAGACAAAAGCCACAATTCAGGACAGTGGAATGAAAGGGAAGATTCAGTCCATAATAACCTTGGGGCAACAACACAAACCCTTGGCTGCTTACATTCTGATTTCTGTTACAAGGAAGAGAATACACCCATCTAATTCAACCCCTCTGGTTTCCAGGTTTCAAAGCTACCTGAGAGGTCTAAATTCAGAACAGGCTGGGAAGGCAGTGAAGATCACAGTGAATGTTTGTGCGGGTGTGATCTTTCAAATATTTAACCACTGACATGGTGATGACACTAATTAATCCAAATAGATGCTGATGTAGGGAGTGGAAGATGCTAGCATGCTTGGTGTTAATCCTGGTTGTTAACTGTGGAAATCAAGGGGTCCCAAGAAAGGCAGAGAATGCTATTCACTAAAAGTATTACAATATTTTAAGATGGTCATTTTGGTAGACACCATCCATTTGTCACTCCAGAGCATGAGCCTAGTGAGATGAGTGAAAGAGTTCAAAGAAATGGAGCAGTTTCACGGGCCAAGGTCAGGGAGGGAATGGTGGGGTTCAGGTGACCGCTGCAGGGGAGAGAAGGCTTGGGCTGAGGTTATTTTAGGCATCAGGGAAGCACAGACAAACATGAGCCAGGCTTAGAGTAGGGCATCAGGAGTTTCCACAGAAGGAAGGAGGAAAGGCAGTTAACACATACATTCTTCATTCTGCTTCATTTCCATTCACACCTGACTTCCTCACCATTTCTTCTTCCAGCTTAATCTTATTCCACTTCATTTGATTCTATTCCCTTTCCTCAGAAATATTAATATGGAAGATTAATATGAAGTATATAATTTGTGTCTATTTTTCTTCCTTAACAGAGATTTATTTCCTATTCTATAAAATGTAAATGAGTAGACTTTGGATAGTTTCCACGAAAAAATGCAGAAGAATTCAAGCTGCTTCTATATGTGCAGTCCCTCATTAATTGTTTTCTATGAGTCAGTGACCCCTGATAGGAAACAAAAGGGGAGATGATCTTTATCTTTAGGCAAAAGAAGCCAATTAACCAGGGGCTTTCTGTAAAGAAATCACTGAACTCTCTTAGTGACAGTTAGTCAACACTCATTCGGCAGTCCTTTATAGCTGGTCCCTGTGCTAAATGCTGAGGATGCAAGGGGAGAGCAATTAGAGTCTAATAAAGGCAGTACAGTGACAAATGTAAATGAATAGTAACTTGAAAAAATGTTAGTGAATGTTTAAATAGTATGTGTGATAAGTATAGCATAGAAAAAAAAATTAACCTCACAAATCATAATAGCCACTTACCTTCTTGATATTTACAAAATTGTTAATGAACAACTAATCTGAATTTTATCTCATTTATCTTCCTTAATATACTCTCTCAATGAAGACTCTACAAAGTGAAAACATCCTCGGAATAGCTGTTTCAGGCAAACTGTTTCTAAATATTCAAAAGTTAAAGTAAAATGAACTTTTTAAAAGAAAAATCAAATTTTTGATTATTAAATTAATTTTATCTCACCTTTCTTTTGCCTGGAGATCCTTTTTTATTAATGCTTCAAACTTCTTAATTTCATTGGCCACATCCTTTAAAGAAAATTCATCATCAATTTTTTACCTCTAAATATACTGAAACTTTTTCTTTTATCACTTTCATTTAAATTTGTAAAAGTGATATGTACTAATAATTCAAGCTAGTTAGGATTTCTAAATATTCTAGAATATTCTTCTATTCCAATTTGTTACTTTCAGTGTAGACTAAAGGTACCTAAAAGAAGGTGAAAATTGCCTAATCTGAATAATTCAGTTCACAATGCTAGCTCTGAAAGTACATCAAAAGGCATTTAATAAGAAAAAATATTATAAAAAAGTTAGGACATGCATTTTTAATTACAGTTATTTTAAATGAGAATAACTCCGGGAGTTGGTGATGGACAGGGAGGCCTGGCGTGCTGCGGTTCATGGGGTTGCAGAGTCGGACACGACTGAGCAACTGAACTGAACTGAACTGAACTGAAGCATTTTTTAGATATAAATATTTCTTCAAAAATTATCTTGGGTGTTTTAAACATTTTTTGTGCACTCTTATATATACTATTAATTTGCTGTTGGAAAATTAATTTTAGCTGATCTGCCTACTGCAAATCCTTTTTCATAAACTTTAATCAACTCAAGGAAACAGAAGAATTAAATTTTTTTAATATAAATTTATTTATTTTGACTGGAGGCTAATTACTTTACAATATTGTAGTGGTTTTGCCATACATTGACATGAATCCATCATGGGTGTACATGTGTTCCCCATCCTGAATATTTTTACTAAAATGGGGTCAGAAAAAAGCCTCTGTGGATAATACTTTTAGACACTAATTATAGGATTTTAATATTAAAAATTAAGTGTGAATTAAAACAAAATGCAATGGATTTGGATATCAGAGTGACCTGCCAATGCTTTATTAGCATTGTGAACTTGGGTAAAACATGTCAGTTTTCTGAGCCTGTTTCCTTATCCAAAAAATGGGGAAAGCAATACCCTACTTAGCGAGTTGTTTACAAATTAAAGACAATGTGAAATGCCCAACCCACAGCCTGACATATAGCAGATGATGAATAAATGGTAGCTGTTTTCTTAAGTTAAAGGGGAGAATATCACTAACAATCATTATAGCAGCATCAAGTGTAGATTCCAGGAATTAGTATCAAAATGCACAGACAGTACTGCTCCCCTGTGAAATATAATGAGATTGTATCCTATAGGAACGACTGATAAGTGTTAAGTAATATGATATATTTATCAATAGTATGTCTTAAATGTAAATATAATGAGAGCAAGCAAATTGCTTAACATTGCTAGGATTCATAGAAAGACAGTGCAACATGGGGAGGAAGTACTAGGGAAAAGCAAATAGTAGGAATGGCACATAGATGGTATCTGGGGTACCTAGACTGGCCCCTGTTGTATGCATGGGCGTCATGACCCATCACAACAGCACCCACCCTGGCACAGTTTGCTCGTGATCACAGAATCCACCACACAAGAGTCCACACGGGTATTCTCATTTAACAGCAGTTTGTCATCCATATCCTAAAGCTATATTCTCAAATAATGGAATAAAATAGATTGGACATGCATGCAGTGCATGTCTTTTAAATGAGAAGGGACAATGCCAGAGGTAATTTGAAAAGGAATTAGGAAGTTCAGGGAAGTTTCTCTCTTAGGGAAAGATCATCCTTTCATTAAGATAAACACAACACAATGTTAAAGGACTATCACTTACCTCTGCCTCTTTTTTCTTTTTCATTAATTTTTGGGTGTCAAGTGTTTTCAGAGTATGATCTGATGTGGGTTTAGGAATCTGTATGATAGCTGCTTGGATTTTGGCCATGATTTCATTTTGTCGTCTTCTGCTCAAGCGTTGCTAAATATTCCATATATATGTAAGTTTAGTTATTCAGCTTATCAGAATAATACACAATGTAATACACTCACAGGTACACAGATATGTGAATTTTCCATTCAAATTTTCTAAACTCAGCATTAACTGATGGACTAGGTAATATTAGGAAGGAAGTATCAATATAACTAATTTTGAAAAGTATAATATTGAAACACAATTTGGGAGTCCCTAAATTATGCAGATTGAATGTGTCTATTTTCATTATGGATGGTGATACTAAAAGGCTAATAAAGGCATCCCCAATATGAAAAATGAATGTAATTCTTTCCCAGTTCCACCTTCATGACCTGCCTAATCATGGGAAGAAAAAATTAAGTCCAGGACACGGTATCTAGGAGGGCTCCCAACATCACTAATTATTAGAGAAATGCAAATCAAAACTATAAAAAAGTATCACCTCACAACAGTCAGAAGTGCCATAACCAAAAAGTCTTAAAACAATAAATGCTGGAAAGGGCGTGGAGAAAAGGAAACCTTCTTACACTGTTGGTGGGAATGTAAATTGGTACACCCACTATGGAGAACAAAATGGAGGTTCCTTAAAATATTAAAATAGGACTACCATATGATGCAGCAATCCTACTACTGGGCATGTACCCAGAGAAAACCATGAACTCCAATGTTCACTGCAGCACTATTTACAATAGCCAGTACATGGAAGCAACCAAAATGTCCATCAACAAAGGAATGGATAAAGAAGATGTGTTATGTATCAATTTATACAATGGAATATTACTCAGTCATAAAAAAGAACAAAATTGGGTCATCTGCAGAGACTTAAATGGACCCGGAGACTGTCATACAGAGTGAAGTAAATCAAAAGGAAAAAAAATGTTATGTATTAATGCATATATGTGGAATCTCAAAAAATGGTAATATGATCTTATTTGCAAAGCAGAAATAGACACATGGACGTTGAGAACCAACATATGAATGAATTGAGAGATTGCAGTTGACATATATACACTACTATGAACCTAGTGTATAGCACACAGAATTCTACTTGGTGCTTTGTGGTGATCTAAATGGGAAAGAAATCCAAATAAGAGGGGAGATATTTATACATGTGGCTGATTCACTGGCTGGACAGCAGAGACTGACACAGCAGTGTAAAGCAACTATATTTCAATTAAAAATAATAATCAAAGGACATTTAATGAGTATTTTCAATGTTCAAAGCATTGTACTAAGCAAATTTTTCGAATTGGAGGAACTAAAACTCTTGTGAGGTCATATGACAGGTAAATAATATCAGCAAGAGGTGGTTAGCACCAAAGAGTGAGAATTATTTGTGCCCTAGGAGTTCCCCAGAAAGAGTCTATGTGTACTGGGAAGGTTGCAGAGTAGATGGAGGGAAGTTTAGGGGAAGAGGAGAGAGGAGAATGGTGAGCTTGGGTAGGACAGAGGGAAGAGCAGAAATAAATGAGTCCTATTCAATGACAGGCCGCCAGTGTAATAACAGAAGAAAGACAATGCTGAGGGTTATGAAAAGATACCGAAAGGTTGACCGTGTTTAGTGAAAAAATTTAAATGCTAGTTAAATCAAGGGACAAGATATTTGTAGAGTAGCTTCCTGGGTGGCTCAGATGGTAAAGAATCTGCCTGCAATGCAGGAGATCTAGGTTCAATCCCTGGGTCGAGAAGCTCCTCTGGAGAAGGAAATGGCAACCCACTCCAGTATTCTTGCCTGGAGAATTCTACGGACAGAAGAGCTTGGCAGGCTACAGTCCATGGGGTTGCAAAGAGTTGGACACAACTGAGCAACTAACACAACACAACGTATTTGTAGAATAGCAGGTTTCTGAGAAGAAGCAGCCAACAAAAGTGGAATTGAGGGCAGATTTTCCTAGCAGTTGATTAAACTTTAGGAGCCTAGATTCATTCATAGGTTGCAGCAGGAGATCTGAGTGGATTCGACAGGGGTATAGAAGAAAAAGAGCAGGCCTAAGAAGCACAAGGAATTAGGAACAAACAGAATTTGATAAGTTACTGGAGCTTAGTGGAGAGGATGGAGGGAGGCATCAAAAATGAATAAATGGAAAGAAAAGATAAAACCTGAATAGGGCCAATAACATAATCAGGGACATACATGCTCTAAGGGGCTTTTTTGAAAATGCAACATCATTGCCGTGTTTCTTCAGCAAGCTTTTGTGTTCTGATATGTTTATAATTTTTTTTATGTACTTACATCTCTAAAAGCCTCGCTTTTCATGTTTTGAACTTTTGTGCTCATCAGGGGCTGTACGGTTGGCATTTCCACTCCAGTCTGAACACCTTTCTTTTTCCTCTGGAGAGCAATGTACAGCTGATATAAGAGTTTCGTGGCAGCCCCAGGCTTCTCTGTGATGATATTGTGGGCCACATTCTGATCAAATTGCACACCCAAAAGGTGAAGGGTGGGCTCCAAGCGAGAAAAATTGTTAAGTTTGGCACTTGAAATCCTAGGCATTAAAATATTTCACATAATAAGACATTGAATTAAAGGCAAACAACAAATATCAGAGGATTTTCATAACCAAATACCATGTTCTTTTAAATGTATCAGTCCTCGCAAAAACCACTTAATCCTCCAGACAAGTTGAGATTTTGTCTATTGCCCTAGCTCCATGCATTTATTTCTCTTGAATGGGCTAAACTAAAACTCATTAATTTCATACACTCTTCTACTTAAATACTAGAATTTCTATAGGAAGTCAGTACAAAAACATATCTAAATGCCTTCTTCAAAATGGAAAAACTTAACTATAGTTTTGAAAAATATTTTACTCAGAAGACAAAACTGCACTTTAAATACCCATTTCTTTAATTGGTATAACATGAAAATAACCTTACTTTCAGTGATGACTGAAAGTGATGACTCTCACCATTGTCTTCTCAGGCACTGTCAGAAATAGCTAAACAATATTAGCCATACAACTAGATGAGTCATGAGATCATTACTGTACAGTTTATATCACTTCTTCAAAAATCACTAAAGACTTTCTAAAATATATGTATTGTTGAATCATCTATTATCAAATGAGGCTCACATTTTAGAAGAACTCATTAATTCATTATTAATTTACTCTCAACTATACCAGTAACTTATTTATTTAATAAATGTTTATAAAATTATTAAGGTCTTACAAAGATGAATAAGACACCCTGCCCTTTAGCAGTTCATAGCAGGAAAACAGGTGTAATAAGTAGTGATAAACTGATGCAACTGTTGCAATAAAGGTCTCAAATGACCAAGGGCCATCAATAAGCCTATGAATACAGCAGCAGAATAAAAGCAAAAAGATGTTAGATGCATTTTCAACTTTTGTGTGTCTCTTATGTTCAAACTGGATGCAAATGTCAATTTTATCCACTGGCCCATTTTCTCTTTACTTTAACTTTCAAACATCAGTGACATTCTTTGATGTAAAAAAAAAGATACTGAATATACTTGAATATAAGTCAAAGTCCCATCTTCTCCCTAAAAAAAGAGGATACCTTACAGAGGGAGTTGGCAGAATTTCTAGTATTATAGGGTTACTCACTCCATAACTTCATTTTAGACTATAAAACTATTTGGGGGAGATACAATGACCTTTGTTGAATTTTCAGAAGCTGAAAGAGATCACTTAGCACTTAAAGTTTTTAAATTTTATTTTATTTTTAATTGGAGGATAATAACTTTACAATATTGTGATGGTATCTGCCATACATCAACAAGAATCAGCCATAGGTATACATATGTCCTTTCCCTCTAAAACCTCCCTCCCACCTCCCTCTGTATCCCAGCCCTCTAGGCTGTCACAGAGCACCGACTTTGGGTTCCCTGTGTCATATAGCAAATTCTTACTGGCTATCCACTTTACATATGGTAATGTATACACTTCAATGCTGCTGTTTCAGATTATCCCACCTTCTCTCTCCCCCACTATGTCCAAAAGTGTTCTCTATGTCTGCATCTCCATTGCTGCTCTGTAGATAGGTTCATCAGTATCTTTCTAGATTCTGTGCATGCACAGGTGTGTGTGTGTGTGTGTGTGTGTGTGTGTGTCTGTTAGTTGCTCAGTTATGTCCAACTCTTTGCAACCTCATGGACTGTAGGCCACAGGGCTTCTCTGTCCATGGAACTCTCCAGGCAAGAATACTGGAGTAGGCTTCCATTCCCTTCTCTAGGTCTAGATTCCACATATATGCATTAATATATGATATTTGCCTTTCTATTTCTGCCTTACTTCACTTTGTATCCCTGATGAAGGAACTAGCAACCCACTCCAGTATTCTTGCTTGAAGAATACCACGGACAGAGGAGCCTGGCGGGCTACAGTCCAAGGGATCTCAAGAGTCGGACACAACTTAGCAACTAAACCACCGTTTTGTATAACAGGCTCTAGGTTCATCCACCTCATTAGAATCGACCCAAATGCATTCCTTTCTATAGCTGAGTGATATTCCATTTATGTATGTATCACAACTTATTTATCCATTCATCTGTCAAAAGACATATACGTTGCTTGCCTGTCCTAGCTATTGTAAATAGCACTTAACACAAACTTTATATACTGTCATACTGTTTCTAGTATATTATTTCTCAAGAGATAGCTCTCAAGCAGTGATTCTAAACTTTTTTTTTAATCACATATACTATCCTTGGGAAATCTGATGAGAGCTATGAAACCTTCTCCCCAGAGAAGAAAACACACATCCATGAATATACACAAAATGTGTATGCACTTTTGGGGTATTTGTCAATCCTCTAAAAATCTAGCCTAAAAGTGCCTACTAACTGCAAGGGAGGTGGGGTTGGGAAAATAAAGGAATGATTTATAAATATAAATAAAGAAGTCAGTGTCACATGAAGGTCAAAGCAACAAACGTATTGACAGAAGACACTGAGTTCCTTTTCCAGTCATGCGGCGTAACTCAGTGTCCTATTTCCTCTATTTGGTCAAGTATACTTAGCGTGGCATGCCACATTGGCCAAACTATGAATAAAGTATTTTAAATAGATAAAAGATAAACAGATCTTAGAGGGAATGAGAAGAGATAAGGAATGCTACAAGGCAATCTTATCAACCACAAAAGTAAAACATTTTTTTAGGTCTTTTCATGTCGTGTCCAGTGTTGCAATTTGTTCCCCACAAATGACCTACAGTTTGAGATAACAAGCATTGGCCTAAAATGATTAGGGTGCTACATAGACCATGTTTTGAAGAGTCTGATTGTGAAAGAGGATGGTCAGGTCAATGACTTGTGTCCACATTCCTTGGATGGGCACCTGACACCCACTTTGATCTTTCAACATAGTTCATCTTTTCATGTCCTTCTCATCTTTGGAGTTTGTATGTTTTCTCTACTACATTTATTTGCAAAGATATGGCCCGAAGGACAACTTTCCGAGGTTTTGCCTGCGACATAACCTTAGGCTTCAGAGGTCAGAGGCACCATAATTTGGGAGGGAAAATCCAAAAACAAACACTATCCATTTGCAAATTTTATCAAAATTTAGCCCTGTGCCCAGTGAAAGTAAAGCACACTACCCTTTCTCTTCCTTGTTTTACACAACCTCCAGAAAGCAGTGTAGCCTGCTAACACTAGGGTTCAGGGACACGGAAGGCTTCCAAATGGCTTTTATGGTCTGGCTGAAGTGTCCAGGTATAATAGTACTTCTTTCTGGAAGCTTTTAATAATATATATTCTAAATATCCAACCAAAATTTTGGGAATATAACTGGCATGTAAATGGATGGAAGCCCACTCTTGTTATAATATATGCTCAATCAGTATACCATGATAATCAACAGTTGTTTTTAAACCTAGAGAAACCACTGGGACATTTTTGCTCTGGAGACAGAGCATATGATGTAAATGATGACCCTCGAGGGGATAAGGAATGTGTTCTGGGAAAAGCCTTCTCCCTTTCTACCTGCAGTCCTTATCTGCCAAGGAATTACCTCCATGCTGTCTTGTAAGGGAATACAATTCAAAAGGTCATTAGAATAGGGGTATCCATGCTCCTTTATTTTTTATCTTTTTAACTAATCTGCTCATTTCTCACCCTCTGAGTTGGACTACAGATATCCTAAAACAGAATTCTTTCAGAGTTAGATGAGTTCTTCTTAGGATGAAGTAATTCCCAAAGCAAGTTAACTTCAAGTTATGTGCAATGCAGATTTAGTTTACTGTTTACATTTTAGACTAAAGAAACTAAAAATATTACACAAAAATCTCCAAATCATGAGCTTTGGCACTAGACAGCTGTTTAAAAACTAGGCTTTACAAAGAAGGGTCCTTTTCCCCACTGAATAAGCTAATACAAAGCTCAGATGCATGGTTTACTGATTCTTGTCTTCTTTAGAATATCATGTGCCCTAGAAAAACAGTGGGTTGTCCTAGGAACTAAAGGTTGATAGTATTTGGTTGTTAAGATAGGTCCATCTCCCCATGTTAAAAATGTGATGATGCTCAGTGAAACAGAAAGTTCATCCTTTGCAGTGAATGAAGGGCAGGGCTGCAACACAGGATGATACTCAGGGCACATAGCTATGCAGAGGCAGGACAAAGGTGTGAAATCTACCCTGGGCTCAGCTTGCCAAGCACAGGACCTTCACATGAGGCAGCTTCATCCAAAATGGGGCTTTTCTCTGTTCTCTGCACAAAGGCTTTCCTATTCACTAAGACCTGTTTGCACAAGGGCTTTCCTATTCACTTCCATCCATGTGGGCCCCTGTTTCTATTTCATGCAAAAGCCTTCCATGGTCTTGCTAACAAGAGCCAACTCAGTACACGTGAAATACTGCATGCATGATCTGATTAGTATGGTTCTTTTAAGTTTTCCACACCTAATTCAGAACCAGATACACTTTCTGAAGTCAGTCATTTTTATTCATATAGAGAAACATGATGGTGTGCCTGCAGTGGGTCAGGGACAATGCCTGGAGCACAAAGAATAAACATACTCTGCAACTTTGAACATCTTTGCAAAGTAGTTAAGGCACAAACATTCATATATTCACTCATCATATATGGTTTGGGCTCCTTCAGGTGGTAGTAACTCTGATAAGAACTGACATGTAAATTAAAAAATATAACTTAAGGTAATAAAAAAAGGGATGTCTGAAGTGTTGTTGAAACAAACAAAAAAGCAAAGAGTAAAAGGAAATTAAATCTGCTGGGGAGAAAACAAAGAGTTTAGAAAAGGGTGGATTTTTAGCTGGATCTTAAGGATGAAGAAGAGTTTCTCAGGGTGAAAGTGAACAAAGAATAATATACAAAGGTTCAAGGCATAATAAAAACACATGACGTATTTGTGGATCAAAGTAGCTTATGTTAGAGCTACAGACTGGTAGAAAATATGACTGGAAAGGGTGGATGAAGGTCACAAGGGAAGCATTTTGTAATAGAAGCCTTGAGAAAGAGAAACTGGAATATCCAAAGCTTTTTAAGCTGACGGGGGAAACCACACCTAAAGATGTGGGTGTAGAGTTCTATCTGCCTACGGAGAAGTTCAAACAAGGGGCTTAATGCAGGACTTATCAGAATATGCAGCCATTAATTAATTCAGAAAACATTTACTGAAAGCTAAACATGTGCTAGGCCCATGATAGCCCTGAGGATGCAAAGAAAAATAACTCATAGTACAACTACAAAATCCTTTGAAGGTACAATGTGCAACTGAAAGAGATACAAACAAAGAAACTGACAACAAAGTGACCAATGTTATAACAAGTAACTGTACAAGACAAGTTTAAAACTTTCATGAAGGGATAATAGGCAATGACACCAAAAATAGATTGGAAACCTGGTTACATGGAGATCATCACAAATCAATCTGTGCACATGAGAACTCGTGAGAAAGCAAAAAACAGAAAAGAAGGGCATGTACACTGACTTACCTACCCTGGAAATCTTATACCTTAGAGGCTGATCCTTGCTTCTATTGGAAGGGAGGAGATTTAGGTAGAAGCAGAGTGGGCACAGGGCTAGAAGATCAAGCAGAGGAGGCAGCTTGGGCTAAGCAGAGAAGGACAGTGTATACCTTGTTCTTGAGGAAGAGATGTGAGACATGGGGAGTAGGATATGCATTAGAATGTTACCTAGTACCCTAGAAGCTTAAGAAATTGTCAGGGATTAGCAAAAGAGGATAACTTGGTATAAAAATATATTTACAATCCATGGCTTCTCTTGAATTATACTATTATTACCTGCACAACTAGCATAATCTGGATTGTGAAAGAATGACTCACCTCTAGAATGGAGGTACTAGACTTCTTTTCCTTGAACTCTTGCAATGTAGGTAATGCTCAATGGAGATATAACATCCAAAGGAACCAAAGACTAAGAAATACTTGAGTGGGAAATATCAGGTTAAAACACTATGAATATTGACCAGGATGTCATGAATGGCACAGCAAGGACCTCCAAAAATCTATTCCTCCAAAAAGACAATAATAAAACTGACAAAATTCATAAAAATTAACTTCTTTGTAACTCTAGTGATTAGCCAAAGGCTTGTAACAATATAAAGAAAATTTATTCAAGAAAAAATCCTTAATCTCAGTAAGAACAGAGAGCTTTTAGTCATTTTAACTTGCCCTATTCCCATTTCCTTCTTTACAGCTCTTGAAAATCAGGAGCCTTGCAGTAAAAACCAGCAGCCTAACAGCCATCTGAGAGGACAGACAGGTTTGGAACTCCTCAAGAAGTCCTATCCTCGGAACACTGTCATTATTTAACATAATTTAGAGCTCAATCACTGCTTTAGGTAGCTGTGATCTTAAACAGTTGCCACTGATGACTTTTTACTAATACCCTGGGAATGGGGTTTTCAAAATGGCAACCTGCTCCAGTATTCTTGCCTGGAGAATCCCATGGACAGAGGAACCTGGCAGACAGTCCACGGGCTCAAAAAGAGTCAGATACAACCTAGTGACTGAACCACCACCACCATCTAAGGCAGTAATACCACTGGTGCAAACAAGAGCTGCCCAAAAACTTAAGAGGAAGACATAACAATGAAATATCCACTGGGAACTTTGGGAAGCTCTGATGCATTCCTGGGGATCGAGAGGACCATATGCATGTGTAGGAATGTTTGGATACCCAGGAAAGACAGGAGGAGGCCCAAATCTCTCACTTTTGGCTGACCTTAAGCTCTGTACAAGCAGGACGTAAAGGCTAAGGCAGAGTTGTAAACTGTGAAAGCACTGAAGATATACCTCAACAAACTCAGCATCTCAGCCAAGGAAGATTTATCAGTTCAAGATATTTTAAAATATCTCCATTTATTTGCTGGGCTCTGTTCACTAAGCTAACCAAGCAGAGTCTTCAGGTGCTATACACAACAGGGAATACAGATTTTCCAAAATTAGTCCAAGAGAGTCATTAAACAGACAAAAAGTAGCAGCAGAGCAACAACAACAAAGCCCGGGAAGGCGGAGCAATCTGAGTTACCTCATGGTATTATTCTAGATGTCTGTTTTCACCAGTTATGAGACACATAGAGAAACAGGAAACACTGTCCCTACCTAGGGGGAAAAGGTCAGCAGAAACTCTCTGAGGAAGCCCAGATGTTTAATTGACTAGACAAAGACCTTAAGTTGGCTATTGTAAGTGTTAAAAACTAAAATAATTCATTTTTTAAAAAATTATAAAAGAAAGTATGAGAACAACATCTCAACAAAAATAGAATATCAATAAGGAGATAGGAATTATAAAAATAACCAAGTGGAATTCTAAAATTAAGAAGTATATGACAAAAACCACTACAATATTGTAATTAGCCTCCAACTAATAAAAATAAATGAAAAATAAATAAATAAATTTGATAGCAAAAAAATATAAATATATATATATAATAACTGAGATGTAAAAAGTCACTAGAATAGCTCAACAGGACATTTGAGTTGGCAGAAGAAAGAAGCAGTAAATTCAAAGATAGATCAATTGAAACTATTCACAGGGGTAACAAAAAAGGAAAAAGAATGAAGAAAAATGAACAGAATTCCAAAACACATAAACTCATTCTAATCATGAGAGAAAATTTCAGACTAATTCCAACTGAGGAACAATATCAAAATACTTGACCAGTTTTTAATTTTTCAAAACTGTAAAGATTATCAAAAACAAGGATATGAGAAAATGATATCCTGATAAGATATTGGAACAAAAAAGACATTAGATAAGAATTACAACAAATCTTTGGTACAAAATGTACCATACCAATATAAGATGACAACAGTAGGGAAAACTGGATGTGAACAGCATGGGAACTCTGTACTATCTCTGCAACTTTTCTGTAAACCTAAAATTGTTCTAAAATTAAAAGTTTAGTTTTAAAAATCAACAAAGCTCCTGAGATCTGTGCGATACTGTCAAGTACACCAACACACACATAATAGGAATCCCAAGAAGAGGAGAGAGATGAAAAGAAATGGGGAGAAAGAACTTTTGGAGAAATGAGGAGCAAAAGTTTCCTAAATCTGATTAAACACAGGAGTGCAGGATTACGGAAGACATTAAAACGGGGCCCATCTAGAGATGAGGTCTTGCGACAGCCTGTCACTTTCTCTCCTTTGTACTCCTGGGAAAATGACATATGTATATGTGAGGAAGCAGCAATTTTCATGTCGATGGTGTGTTTGCCTGGTTTAGGTTTGGAAGGAATCTTGTGATAAATGATTCTTTAATGTTAACTTTGGAAGCTAAATCCATCCAAAGACCAAAGGAATTGACTTTTTAAAAAATAAAGAATAATCTCACTAACCTGCTTTCTGAAAAGTCTGCAAAATCATCCTGAAGTGCAAACTTGTGCAAAACTTCTCCAATTAGATAGCCACTGGAAAATGCCTTTGCAAATGACTTGGGACCTGAATTTTAAAACACAGAGATAAAAAAGTAAATATAATGCTTTACACAGAGATTGTATATTTTCAGTATGTACATACAGAATAAAATCCCATAATTTAACCTGAACTCAGAATGCCATCAAAATAGTTCTAAAATGTATCTTTTAATAATCAGATGAAAATACTGAATTTTAACAGTAGGTATCTTATAAGGATCCCTGAATAAATGTGGATCAGTACTTGATAACATATGATATTTGGAAAGAAAAGACAACTTTTGATCAAACCAAACAAAACACAACCAACAAAATATATAACCTTAGATCTAAAAACAAATCTTCAGTATATTTTATAAAATTATACTCTAATACTTCCATTATCAATACAACCTGTGGATGATTTCATATTCTTGACCAAGTGAGGTACAATTCAACTTTTTTAAACCTCAAAACTTAATTTTAACCTTTATGCAATGGAAATTTTACAAAAATCATCTGCACCTTCTTAAATAAAGCCTACTGAACATAATCAAGATTTTCCTTGGGCTTCCCTGGTGCCTCAGTGGTAAAGAATCCACTAGCCAATGCAGGAGACATAGATTCAATCCCTAATCCAGGAAGCCCACATCTCTCGGAGCAACTAAGCCCATAAGCCACAAGTACTGAGCTCGTGCTCCAGAGCCTGGGAGCTGCAACTACTGAGCCCATGGGCCTCATCTACTGAAGCCTGTGTGTCCTAGAGCCTGTATTCTGCAATAGGAGAAGCCACTGCAATGAGATGCCTGCATAGCACAACTAGAGTAGCCCCCACTCACCACAGCCAGAGAAAAGCCTGTGAAGCAATGAAGATCCAGTATAGCCCAAATTAAATAAAGAAAAAAAATTTTGAAAACTATATTATAAAGAAGATTTACATTGGTGGTTCTGTGGTTTACTCCAGTGTAGTTGGTGTCCTGTGCAATGATGGAGATGGCCCAGAGGAAGACAGGTTTTGGAGCTAGAGATATCTATGCTAAAATCTTGTCTCTGCCTTTTACTAGCTGTGCAACCTCTGACAAGCTGCTTAACCTTCCTGAATTTCTGTCCCATCCTATCTATATCTATCTTGGTGAGTTATTTTAAAGATTAGAGGCAATGTATGAGAATTTCTTGGTACTATGCCTGCCACAAAGTATGCACATACTGATGAGTGCAGGAAAAAAAATTAAGTGTAAAGTAGAATTTGCTTTCTTTAAAAATGTCCTTAGTTTGGGGTCACTTATATTTTTCTTATGAAGGATGTAGGGTTACATGGTATTCAAGAATGATATTCGAAGTTGATACATAATANCTGAGTGACTGAACTGAACTGATCACAGCATCACAAACTTGTTCATACAGAATTACCCTTTTTTATCTATTTGATTATTAACAAGGTGGCTAACTGCAAATGACGTTGGAATGATTTCACAATTCGTAGAGCTGGTGCTTGGTGTGCAATTGCAGGGAGGTGAGGGGAGACCTTACTCAGAAGACTTTACATCATCATAAGGCTCCTGCATATCTGACACCAGCCCACAATTTTGCCCAAAGCTTCCCTAGTATCTGCTCTCAGAGTATTTTATACTTTAATAATATCCCAGTTCTTAGGTTAAATCAATATAAAGTAGCTTAAAAAGATGTCAACAATCCTCATTGGTTCTGTTTATTCAGGGTGAGCTCCTAAACTATCTAGCACTAGAATCTATCGACTCTGCCTTCCAGCATCATGGGGCTTTCCTAGTAGCTCAGTTGGTAAAGAATCTGCCTGCAATGCAGGAGACCTGGGTTCGATCCCTGGGTCAGGAAGATCCCCTGGAGAAGGGAATGGCAACCCACTCCAGTACTCTTGCCTGGAGAATACCATGGACAGAGGACCTGGCTGGCTACTGTCCATGGGATCGCAGAGTCAGACACGACTGTGCGACTAATATTCCTTTCCTTTTCCAGCATCATACACCAGTAGTCTTTGCAGCAACTGAAATCCAAAGAGCCCCTTCTGCCCCTAAAGGCAGAGGTGTGCCTTGTCCTCCTGCTGAATCACTGTTGCCTTCTTCCCTCAGGACCCACCACTGCTGACCTCCAAAGCTGTGCCACCTGCCTTTCAGTTGTCCTTGCTGTGCCATCTGGGCTGCTCTGGCTGTGCCTTGCACCTCTTCTGTCTGTTGCTTTCTCTGTTTGGCTTCTTTCCCTTTTTTCTCCCTCTAGCCTGTCCCTATTCTTGGTTTTCTGAAGTGCCATTGGACATATAGTCACTGTCAGACTATAGAGTCCTACTAAAAATCTAAAGACTATTACTTTGCATTCAGGAGTTGCTACTATATCTGGTGATATCGTTCTCCCACTCTCTCTGGAATTTGCATTTTTGCCTGTTGCTCCTGATGACTGAAGACCTGAAAGCCAACCTATGAATAACTGGGGAATAACTGTATCCTAGTCCATCACACCCAACTTATCAGGCAAATGGTCTGTAGCAAACTCATAGCTACAAAGAGGTCAGGAGAAAAATCAAATCATAATCTACTTCCTTTGAAATGGCAGGACTTCTTAATAAGACAATTCTGATATGGATAAAATAGAGGCATTTTGGCTACAAAGGTCAAAAAAGAAGAGCAAACACAATATTTCACTGTTAAGTAGGTTACTATAAATAAGTTTGAAAACATGTCTGCAGATCTGTGTGCATTAGACACTTACAGTTTTTCTTTTTTTTTTTTTTTTCCTGTGCTATAGGAACACAGAAGAAAACAATCAGAGCAAAGCTATAGGAAGCAGAAAAAAACCACAAAGGGAAAACACATAGAAAAAAATGGAGAGAAAAAAGAATATGTGCAAGAAATTAGATGAAGAAAAAGCAGATAATCCAGGAATATGTAGATTTAAAAGTATGAGAAGGAAGATAAGAAGCCAGAGAGAGGAAGAGAAATGGAGAGAGGTGAGGGGAGAAAAACGGTAAGGAAAAAAAGAAAACACAAAGAAAAGATTTTTTTATTTTTGGTTTATCGAATTTTCCTTCCCAGTAAATGTTCCAGGATGCCACAGTTAATGATGGCCACCTCTGTAAGTTAATTTGCACTCATGACTGGAATTACCCAGGGGAAAGAAAAGGTGGATTGACTCCAGGATAAAGAACAATGAAGAATGTGAGAAAGAAATGAACCATAGGAGCTCAGTAACAATCTTCTCCCTGAGATTGGAAATGATCTACATGTGGAAAAATGTTGTTCCGTAACAACTCAGCCACACCTCCAGTCTTCCAAGCCACAGGTCTGATCCCATTCACTAACGCTTTCAATTGCAGAAATCTTTAATGTGAGCTTTTGTGAATTATCTGGGACGGAGGACAAAGGGTCTATGTGCTTTTCACCTGAGCCAACTGGAGAAAAGACAAAAGAAGATAATCCTTCTACATTCCAGATGGTAATGTGGTCAGCACAGGCTCTGAAGAGAGAAATATTCTGGGGTTTGACTCTTGGACCATTTATAAGACCCTGGACTTTGGATAGTTACACAGCCCCAGTTTCTTCTCTTTAAAAGAGGGACAGTGATGGGTTCTACCTCCTGACAGTTGGTTTCATTAAATGAGATAATTGATTAAATGAGATAATGTAAAGTGCTTAGCATAATTCCCGGCTATAGTAAGTGCTCGGTGATCACTTTTACTGAAAGTTTTACTGAAAGTTTTAGTTGCTTAGTCACTGAAAGTTTTAGTTGCTCAGTCACGTCCAATTCTTTGTGACCCAATGGACTGTAGCCCACTAGGCTCCTCTGTTCATGGAATTCTCCAGGCAAGAACACTTGAGTAAGTAGCCATTCCCTTCTCTAAGGGATCTTCCCAACCCAGGGATCAAACCTGGGTCTCTTGTAGTGGAGGCAGATTCTTTACCATCTGAGCCACCAGGTACTGCTTCTTAATTTAAGACAAGATGTTACACCAATTACACAATTCATAACTCAGTAATAGATCCTCAGTGACTATAGTACGGGACTTCCCAGGTGGTGCCAGTGTTAAAGAACCCGCCTGCCAATAAAGGAGATGCCACGGCCAAGGGTTTAAAGCCTGGGTCAGAAAGATCCCCTGGAGGAGGGCACGGCGACCCACTCCAGTATTCTTGCCTGGAGAATCCCACAGACAGAGAAGACTGGTGGCCTGTGGTCCACAGGGTCACAAAGAGTTGGACACGACTGAAGTGACTTAGCACGCACGCATGCACGAACACATGCAATGACTATAGTACAAAGACCTTTATTTAAAGATAACTTAAAACTTAGATAGCAAATATTGACCCTGTCCTTAAAGTCAGATACAGACCTACTCTTGGGTCCAATAAGCTATAACACTCTCCCTGGTCTGGGGAAGCACATATAATCAAATGTAGTTGATTTTACAGCAAACCACTTGAGGAAAAGAAATAATGACTGAACACAGCCTCAGAGCATTTGTGGTCAAGTTTTGCTACCAAATAACTAAAGACATTTGGGGATGTGGGGATCATAGATAAAGGCCTATAGACCTATACATTCTATGCTAACTGGCCTTTGTTCCTCCTTTACTAGAAGAGTGAAGACCTAGCTCAGGTTATCAACAACATTTAAAAAACCAAGTAAATTTACTTTCATCTGAGAGACAGAAAAGCTGCTGCTGGTGGCTGGGCACTGGCCTGACCCCATTAGGCCCTGGTGTTCCTAGAAGCTGGCCCAGCACTCACGGCTAGACTTTGGCCTTCTCCTGCTGACCTTAATCAATTTCACAGCACACCAAGACCAGACAAGGTTACTCAGTGACCCTGATGGACTAAGACAAAAACAAAATCCCTCTATAAACATGTCTGAACTCAGAGTGAAATAGTATTGCCCAAAACACAAAAAATGACCAAATGTCACCCCCCTATTCTGACTGATGTGAGTGGTTGCTACTGTTTTTCCCTCCTTGCTTTGTTATCCCCACTTTCATTACCAGAATAGGTTATGCTGGTATCCTTTTCTGCATGATGAATTGGTACTGTGGCTTATAAAATCATCAGAATGTAATGTCTGTTAGCATGTGACAATCCCTAAGAAATTGCTTAAAGTAATAAAGCAGAGCTTCTGAAATCACAAAAGTGAGGATCAAAGTACCTAGGATGACCTTCCCGAGATGAACAAATCCATCAGGTTCAACTAAAAACAATACTTTACCCTACTTTTGCCTCACTCATGCATCCTCATATAATAAATATTTACTAGGTGCCTATTATGCGACAGGCATCATAACAGGTATTCTTCTAAAGTGAGAGACACAAAAGTTATTGAAATAATATTATCTAGACCTAGATACATGATAGGCACTGTGGTAGATATTTTCCATTTGCAATATCATTTGACACTTCCCAAATATACAGTAATTATTATTATTACCTCTCAGGGTATAAAATTGTGACTAAAGATTACTGTTTCTAGTTCAGATACTAGAAAATCAGGACTTTAGAGATACTAAATTTTTCAACTCAGTTTTCTATTTATTGATTCTTTGTTACTTGTGATAACAATGTCTGAGACTATTCAAACAAAAATACCCGTAATACCCGTATATACAATTCTCACTATGACCCCACCCAGAATCCAAAAGAATATGGACTGCTTGTATATCAATTTGTACAAAGGATCTGATGTATACAATACATGGAATTTGAATGCTCTGCATTTGTGGAGAATGTTTAATTATGACACTCTGATGCCAACTTCCTCTTACAGTGAATTCATAAGCATTTTGCAAAACAGAGACAATGGTTAGGTTTGAAAATAACTGAGAGTCTGTAAAGACTTTTACAGCAAATCTCTTAGTAACACTATTCTATATTGCTTATTTTTATTACAAAAATAATTGCTTGAATTATTTTCTATTGAATAACTTTTAGTATTTTAAGACATTTCATTAACATACATCTAAGCATTATTTTCCAGGACAAATGGTCTAGTTAAACTTAACTCACTGGAGATCCTTAGCTTTAGTAACATAGATCTGAATCTTCATATGTTGAGACTATTCAAACCTCTGGTGACTCCCAGAAACCTCATTAAGTGGAGGGAGACTGTTCTTAATGGAGGATCATTGGAATTCATTTTCTTTACTGCTGATATTCAGGATAGTTCAGGCAACACAAAATTCAATATGAGATGCTTTATCCAAATTGATTTCTACCTTTCAGAATAATCCAGAAATCAATCAGCTTTACCTGCCTCTCTAATGACTAAACCATTATTGAGTCTCACCGAGGCAGCAATGCATTCACTTGGCATTCTCATTCTGTTTGCTTTGTCTCAGGAAGCAACACATGGACTGAACTATTTCTAAACAAATACTAATAACTCCACCATTGCCATTTAACCATTTAACCATCTGGTTGAATTTCTGTACTTCTTGTGACTTCAACTGAACAATAATCCTCCTTAAAAGGAACTCAAATGAATATCTTTGGGAGGGTTAAGTTTTTAAACAGTAAATTCCCTAAGCATAAAATCGAATGTATAATACATCCTAAGAGCACTAGTCAAAGATCTAGATCCAAATTCTAGTTCTAGGACTTATTAGATGGGTGACTTAGAACAAATTACCAAGCTTTCTCAGCCTCTTTTATACATGTGTTCAATGGAGACAATGCCTCTGAGGACTTTTTAAAATCTCAAATATGAAAACCTATGTAAAAGGCTTAGCACAGGGTCTGGCATAAGAATTTAAGTGCTCAACAAAGATTAACTTTTATCATTATTATTATTCCAAGTATAAACTTCATTTGAGAAAATAACTCTTATGTACTCCCCTGTCCCAGCAATACTTCAAGATGCTTACTATATTTCAACTAAGGTGTTAAGCCTCTTTTTCTCCTACATTGTCATGTGACATTTGATCTTCTTTTTTTGATTTTGCATTTGTAAAGCTATACTGAATTTTACTTTCAAATTATGAAGGCAATCCAAGCAAAACATCAAGTAACACAGATGTATAAAGAAAAGCTAGCAATCATCTCCTTTCCCAGGGTAGGCAATACCAATACACTGGCATATATGCTTCCACACCTCTCTCTCTCACACAAACCATAAGATTAAGAGTCATGTATATGTCAACAGCCCAGTATATGCCTCTCCACACTTTTCTCTCACACATCCTCATGCAAAATGATATTATATTGGTTCCAGTAAGTTCTAATTTTGTTTTTCACTTGACAAAATTACATGAGCACATTTTAGGTCAAAAGTTAGAGTAACTAACTCATTTGTTCTAACAACTGCATGATAATCCATAGCATAAATACAGCATCATTTACCCAAGTAGTCTATTATTGAAGCAAATTCATACTGTCTCCATTTTTGTTCTTTTTGCCCCTATAATCAATGTGGCAATAAACATCTTTGTTCAAATGTCCTTACACATTGCTGATTTTATTTTTGTATGATAGTTTCTAAAAAGTAAGATTTAGCATTTACTGTGAGTCAGGGACTGTTTTAAATGCTTTGCATTTATTATGTCATTTAATCATAACACTACTTGATGAAGTATTATTATTACCCCTATTTTGAGTATTATAAAATTTAGGTAAATAAATTGCTCACAAGCACTAGCTAGTAAGTGTGATAAGTGATTTTTAACCTAAACAGTCTGGCCTCCAAATCCTTGCACTTAACAGGATGCTTATCCAGAAATTGCCCAGTTATTTTCCCCAGAAGTTGCATCCACTTACGGTCCTTCCAAGAGAGTTCCTATAAACTGTTTTAAGTCTTCCATTGTATTGGTACCACAGAATGGCTTATCTAATGACAGAAATCAACTGGCAGCATGCTTCTTAGGCACACAGATCCTATCTTGTCTGTTTGTAAACACCGTTGAGTGTGTTCCCTATAATCTGAAAGGCTTTTACAATATGGATTTAGGTAATCTCAGGAATTGTCTCTCTCTCCTTTGACTCCTCTTAGCAGTTAGGATCAAGAAATGAATTTGTGTTGCTAGTGAATGGGATGCAGAATATATTAGCTGTCTCTGCTAACAGCTTCCAGCTTTACACTTGGGGAAAGCAGACATCAGAAATTTTCCATTTATAGTTTATGTTATTTAAATTCTTTAAAAATCTTTAGTCTTGGGACTTCCCTGGTGGTCCAGTGGTAAAAACTCAGCACCTCTACCGCAGGGGGAAGGGGTTCAATCCCTGGTCAAAAGACTCAGTTCCTGCATGCCTCTAGGTGGGACCAAAAAATAAATAAAATCTCCAGTCTTTTAACCTTCAGGGAATGAAGTAATTCTTCCTCCTCCTTTCAAAACCAAAACTCCCCAAACTGATTACAATTAGAATGGCATGTTACTGTTTTTAGATTTCTTGTAAATTTTATTTACATTTCTCAAAATTGTTTGAATATGCAACAGAGTCTTGTGGATTTGAGCAAAGAACATGACTTTTATTAATCAAGTAAATGAACCAAAGTAAACTCAGCAATCTGTAACTGCTTTTCTTCAGAAGAGTAGACCTTAAGGCCATGATACTACATTTTGGCTCCTATGGTGAGAAAGAAATAAGAAAAGAAAAATGCTAACACCATCCTGAGATAAGCATCATATTTTAGATAAGGAACAGTCAGAGAGACACATGGGATGATCATGGAGTCCTGGGAAAAAACTTACTGTGTGGGTGGCAGTTTGGCAAAGAAAAAGTCTGGGTTTACGCCTCAAGAAAGGCAACTGGAGTGAGTGAGTGATGGTCGCTCAGTTCGTGTCCGGCTCTGAGACCCCCTGGACTGTAGCCCACCAGGCTCCTCTGTTCATGGAATTCTCCAAGCAAGAAAACTGGAGTGGGTTGCCATTTCCTTCTCCAAAGGCTACTGCAAATGCTCCAAATTTAAAGATCCTAACGTTGGTAACAAACACTTCACAGCTGCAGAGATACTACTGGTTGAGCAAATACTGTGGATGACTTAAGATTGAGTTGGCATTATTGCCCCTCTGGAAGCAAGTTGACATTATGCAAGAATGCTTCTGGGAAAAACAGACTGAAATGATTTGGCCTGAAAACCTCCTGCTTTGAGCAAAACCATACCAGTTAGAAAATGAACTCTTGTTTAAGAAACAACAAAAAGAAGTTGAATGGGGTATAGTGCTATTCTGGAATTACTTGGTTGTTACAAAAGTTGTCAGCATGTAAAAACTGCGTCTGGGGTTGTGGGATTTAGGAAATTTGGATGACAACTTTATGGCTGGGATAAAGTCAGGTTAGTGAAGAAGTCAGCTTTAGGAAGAGTAAAAAGTGGTCAGAAGTAGCAAATGTGTACATATCGAGTTAAAACTGCTGAAATTTGTAAATGTTAATATATTCTGCATTAACTCATTTCACACACAGCCCTTTATATTGGAGGGAACACACTGCGAGGAGAAGGTATTGTAACTTGTCCAGGGGCACACAACTAGTAGTGCGGTAGCTGGCTTTCAGGATTCACATTTCGCTGGTTTGCCAGCACACCACGCTTCTGAGAGTGTGAAAAGAGCAAAGTCAGGGCTAGACTAGAGTCCAGAAAGTTCTTCTCTCCATCGGAGCAAGGGCGCCCTCCCTAAAGCCTCAGAACCATGGTAGGACAGAACCCACGGGGCTGGGACCACCGTGATGATGGGCATACTCAGAGCCGAGCGGCAGAGTGGAGACGCGAGGCTCCGCGGTGGCTGAGGTGAGCCAGAGCCAGCAGCTAGCCTGCCCCGCCAGACTCCATCAGCTCCCCGCGCCCCAGGCTCCGCTCCCCTTCGCCCCCGGTCCGCTCGCCCCAGGCTGTGTCACTCACTGACGGTCTGGGACACCTTCAGTTCCTGGTTGAGCCACTGGCACAGGATCTCCGACATGGTTCGGCCTGTGCCTCCCACCGCACGCAGGTGCCAGGAACACGCGGGAAACCTAGCCCGCCTGCCTGCCTGCGTCCTCCTGTTGCCAAGGGCGACCCGTTGCTAAGGAAGCGTATTCAGGCCGGAGCTGGGAGAAGAGGGGTGCCAGGGCTCAGCCCAGGAGGACAGAAAATCGTGGCCTGCCCCCTGCTGGTAGGTAAGACCGGGATGTGCGCAGGCGCGGTGGTGCGCGCTGGGGGAAGGCCTTGGAGCGCTATTAACACAACAGCCCGGAGACGTTTGCAGGGTCGGTGTGTGGAGGAGGAGAGGCAAGGAAACCCTTCGAAAGAGAGAATCTTGATTGAAGGGGATTTTTTTTCCTTCCTGTTTACCTCCTAAAGAAACTTATGGGAGCCCCTGCTCCAATCACCTCAGTTTTGTCTTTAACTTACAAATTGCCGGTTTTAATTGCTGTATTATATGGGCTACCCAAGCAAGGACTGAATAGGTCTTATAAAACTTCTGGTCCCAGAACTGGTAGAGGTCCTGACCTGTAGCAAACTTTCAATAATTTTTGTTGGTGGTGGTGACAGAAGTAACATTCAGGGTAATTCATATCTTTATATTGTTTTGAGAGATGAGTAATGAATTTCTTTTCTGATCATTTTTTTTCCTTCCAGGTATTATTTTAAATCGTATTTTGGGAAAGACTCTCACCTTGACCAAACCTGAGTCAGACTCCTCTGAGTCCTCTTCTCCCTGAGGTCCTACCTTGAACTCTGTCCTTGGCTCCTTTGTCGAGTTTTGGCAAAAATTCTGCTGGGTGAGTTTAGTGAAAATCCACCACCCTCCATATCTGATCTAGTTCCCTGTCCCTGACCCTTGATAGCTGATCATTCTGGCCTGTTTTCTGCAAATATCCTGTCTAGTCAGTTTAGTCTTTAACTCTGATGTTTCCTCGTAGAAGTTTTCCATCCAAAGACCTCAAATGCACTCCTTGGCTGTAAATCCCCACTTTTCCTTATTATATTCAGAACTGAGCCCTATCTCTATCCACTATTGCAAAACCCCATTGCAGTAGTCCCTTCAATAAAGTCTTATGGTCTTTAACAACAGCAAGAAAAATTCTCCTTTAATAATTTCTAAAAGTTTAGATGGAATAATGGAAAAATTATTTACATATATAATGTGCTTAGTCACTCAGTTGAGTCTGACTCTTTGCGACCCCATGGACTGTAGCCCTCCAAGCTCCTCTGTCCATGGGGATTACTCTAGGCAAGGATACTGGAGTGGGTTGCCATGCCCTCCTCCANGCTTTACTTAACATTGAAATCTCTCATCTGATGAGTTTATCACACCCAACAGAGTAGGTATAACTACCATGGGAATTTTGAGGAAGATTTTTTGCCAACAGAATTGGAGCCTGATACACTTGATATGCATCATATTAGAGTTATCCAAATTTGAAAGGTTATATTCTAAATAGCCTGTTTAGCTTGGGGGATGCATCTAGTAAACCTTTAAACATTAGAAATATGTCATCTCTGAAAATGCTTCTAAAAGATGAATACCTACCTAGAAATGACCTCCAAGACACTCCTGTGGCTAGTCATCCCAGCTGTACATTTAAATTGAAGACTAATGTTACTCATTTATCAAGAAGTTCCAAGCTTTAAATTCAGCCTGTAGAGCCCGGGAGATAGAAACTATTGTTTTCTAGATTGCTGAGAAAATTGCTTTTGGGGGACGATGTAGATGAAGGCACATCAAGTTCCACAACTGCTCCAGAATAAAATGTCTGAGCTCATAAGGCGTCCATAGATATATGCTATTATTCCCACATCAGAGCAAAATATTTCTGTGCCATCTAGAGGAGCTGTTTGGTTGTTGCTTATTGTTTTGTTTCAGTTATTTGTAGTGTTTGTCTCTGGAACCCAGCTCCAAACAACATAATCTGCCAATGCAATATTTTGGAAAAGAAGTTTATATACAGAATTTAGATAAACGAGGAAGAGATGCTGCAAAATTAAGGCACAGTTATTTTTTTTCCACCAAAAAAAGCACATTTCAGTTCCTAAACTATTCAACTTGAAAATGATCTGACATTAAAATATTAATGAAAAAGTTAGAGCTATTATTGAAACACATGCATTATACTGTGTGTTTTTTCTTGAAATGGCTAGCTTAGTTAGTATTCCAATTTTACTGTTCAATCAATTGAATTTCCATTGAAATCTCAGCTCTGGATAAGGTTTGTAGCACTGCTCATGCTGTTATTTTTCATCAACATGATTTATGACTTGGTTTCTGCATGTGGAATCAGTTGGGAGAGGAGATGATTTTAAAAAATGGACAGTTTCCCATCTGTTCTTGAGATGGCACCCTGATTGTTTTTTAATTGAAAATTTTAGGGTATCTGGAGCTTGCATTTAATTGCAACCATTACAGCCAGTTTAAAACTTAATTGAAAATTTATTTTTTAAAATATTCTTTATAAATCCTTATTTCTCCTTTGCAAATAGTGAAGCATGGATGATAAAGAATTATTTTGACACCACACCACTTTGGGTTGAAAAGTGCTATGGTGTACTGAAATGAAATACACCGTATTTTTTTTTTAAAAAAAGAAGTGTAGCATTTTTTCATAATAGAATTTTACACTATCAATAAAGCCCAAGATTTGAAACCAGATACACCTGGCCCCAGTGAAGAGCTGACTCATTGAAAAAGATCCTGATGCTGGGAAAGACTGAAAGCAGGAGGAGAAGGGAACAACAAAGGATGAGATGGTTGGATGGCATCACTGACTCAATGGACATGAGTTTGATCAAACTCCAGGAGATGGTGAAGGACAGGGAAGCCTGGTGTTGTGCTGCAGTCCATGGGGTTGCAAAGAGTCAGACACAACTGAGCAACTGAACACCACCACCACCTGGCCCCAGATAACTGCTCATGATCTGACAGGCTCTTTGACTTTGGAAAAACTTCTTAACCCCTGAGGCTCAGTTCCTTATCTGTAGAACATGGACATCAATATTTGTTTGACAGACTTGTGAGAATTAAATGAGAAATTGCACATATTAATGTCTGGCTTACAGTAAATGCTAAGCATTTCTTTCCTTTTCTCCTAAAGCTATATAAAATTTTCCATTACATGGCTAGTTGGCTTAGTTTTGAATAGTTTGGACTTGTTTATAGCATTTCAAGAAGTTTTTGAGGCCTTTGTTTCCTAAATCTGCTTTGATTTTATTAATGACTAATTAAATGTTTATATATACATAAGTACATACATACTGAAGGATTTTTAGAAAATCTTATGTGGTCTTTTATGTGTGTGTTGCATGCATTTCTTCATTTCTCTCTCATCACCTTCAGATCATTCTCTCATTCCTTCTCCTCAGCCTGTTTTGCAATGTCCATGCTCACTTTATATTAGTTAATTCAACAAATATTATCCCGGTGTCCACAATAAGCAGCCAAGCTAGATTTCCCTGTCCCTTCCCCTCTAGTCACTCTCTGCAACCAGTCCAGTTCATATTCCTTCTCTATTTTTCAACTCAGGCACTTCCATTGATTTAACTAGAGCAGCATTTACAGACTGTGCGTTTTGACTTCTTAAAAGAATATGTAATTTCTGTGAAGGATCATGCTGGAATTCTTTTTAAATGAAAGAGTGAAGAATAAAACAGAATAGAAAATATCAGAGGGCACTTCATGAAGGAGTGTTAATGTGAAAGGAGGGTGGAGACATTTTTGGAGTCAGTGTCCTGGAGGATAAAGGCCCCACTGGAGGCTGTTTACGATGTAGCCTGAATGCAGACTTAACTGGGAGCCACAAATTCCCTTTGCACAGCTTGCACACATTTCTTCACTAGATCCCACTTTTCTCATCTCTGCATCTTCTTTTGGCCAAAAAAAAAAACAAAAAAAGAGGGACTTTCTGTCTCAGCCCATCCTTAATTGAGGATCCAGCTCATCAGTTACCACCTTCACAAAACCTCCTATTCTCTCCATGTCCCTAATTCCTTCTCTCTTCTGAAAGCTCAGAATAAGTACTCTCCTTTCGACTTCCTTCCAAGACACCTACCTCTTACCAACTACCCACAACTTGGCCAACAACTCAGTTTGGCAATCTTCTACAAGTCTTTCTCAACACATTTTCAAACAGGTATTGATTTAGGTTCATATTATTTGTGGCAAATAGCAGTTATGCTGTTAAAGTTTAAAGTTTAATTCTGTTTCAAAATTCTTAAAGTCTTTTCTATTGAAGCAGATGTGACCTTTCCTTCAATGTGTCATATTTTCCAGGCCCACATGATTTGTCTTATATATCGATTGGCTTTCTTAAGCAAACATTTAAATTTTCAATCTTAGAGAGCAATCAGATTTGAAACAAAATCAAATTACAAAGAAACAAAATGAGACAAAATACTAGGTACCTTACGAGAAAAAGTGAGTCATATGTTCTAAGACTGAGATAAACCGAAGTTCATTTATCAGAATTCATGCTTTAATTTCTTACATATTGAAGTTTTCAGAGAAGCCAAACCACCCTTTAGTATCTTAAATTTAAGGTTGTGAATTCCTGTTTTACTTTTTCCTTACTCAGAAAAAGTTATATTTTACTAGTAAACCTTTTTAGTTTTGCTGAATGTGATCAAATTAAATGGACATTTCTCCAAGGAAGACATACAGATGGCCAAAAAGGACATGAAAACATGCTCAACATCACTAAATATTAGAGAAATGTAAGTCAAAACTACAATGAGGTATTACCCCACACCAGTCAGAATGGCCATCATCAAAACATCTACAAATAATAAATGCTGGAGAGGGTGTGGAGAAAAGGCAACTCTCCTACACTGTTAGTAGGGATGTAAATTGATACAATGATTATGGAGAACAGTAGGGAGGTTCCTTGAAAAACTAGATATAGATCTAGGATATAATTCAGCTATCCTATTCCAGGCATATATCCAGAGAAAACCATAATTTGAAAATATAGGCATCCTGTTGTTCATTGCAGTATTATTTGTAATAGCCAACATATGGAAGCAACCTAAATATCCATCAACAGAGGAGTGGGTATTGATGTGATACATGTATACAATGGAATATTACTCAGCCATAAAAAGAATGAAATAATGCCATTTACAGCAACATGCATGGATTTAGGGATTGTCACATTGAGAGAAGTAAGTTGGACAAAGCCAAATGTCACATGATACCACTAATATGTAGGATCTTAAAAAAATGGTACAAATGAACTAATTTATAAAACAGAGGCAGAGTCAAAGACGTAGAAAACAAGCTTATAGCTAACAGTGGGGAAAAGAGGGGAAGAATAATTTGAAGATTGGGATTGATATATATATACACTACTACACATAAAATAGATAACTAATAAGGACCTACTGTGGGTTTCCCTGGTGGCTCAGTGGTAAAGAATCTGCCTGCCAATGCAGGAGACACAGATTCCATCCCTGGGTCGGGAACATCCCTGGAGAAGGAAATGGCAACCCACTCCAGTATTCTTACCTGAGAGAGGCCATGGACAGAGGAGTCTGGTGGGCTACAGTCCGTGGACCCGTGAAGAGTCAGACATGACTTAGTAAGTAAAACAACAACACCACGAAGGACCTACTGTATAGCACAGGGGGCTTGACCCTATATTCTGTAATGAGCTATATGGGACATGAATCAAAAAAATGTAGCTATACGTATAACTGATTCACTTTGCTGTGTGCCTGAAAGTAACACTACATTGTAAACCAACTATACTCCAATAAAATTATATACATATAAATATATGCAATCTTATTTGTCATACCCCTAATAATAAAAGCAAAATCTGGCAGAACTAAAGGAAAATCAAAATTATATAAAATTAAAATAAAGAGTATATACAATTATAGTTGAGACTTTAAAACTTTACTTTTAACAATTGATGAAGTAGAAAAAATATTCTTTAAGGTGTAGAAAACTTGAAAAATACTATATCAATCAAATTAATATGACATATTTATAAAATGATATGAAAGGAAGCATTCACCGAAGGCTGATTACACAGTAATACAACTAGAAATGGGGGTGCTATAGATTAGGTTCACTCTGATGACTTCAAAAACCACATCGAGAAAATTACTTTTAGTTTTTCTTCCCACTGTGAATCTATATTGTCATCATGATGCATTAGGTTCTACACAGTTGAGCTCTCATTGTTTTTTCAAACTTCATCTTATCACATTTTTTATTTGTACCTTTTCAAATATGTTATCAAAAATTTCATAATCATTTTCCTAGATTACTAGAGAAACGTTTATTGAATTATGTAATATTTTTATTCAAAGGAAATAACAGTACTAATTCTATAGGAAATATGGGATTTCCTATAGAAGGAAAGAAATATGATAGCAGAATTTCAGTCATATGTGCACTTCATTAAATAAGATATAACTATATTATAGTTACTGCCCTCTTGATTATTTGTTTATTTTTATCTTGTTTTTTCTTTGTATGCTTTTTTTTATGGAGGGAACTTATATGAATTGACAGAGAAATAACATAAAACTGAATTTCTTCGTAATGGTTTATAAAACCAGAATGACAATTCCCTTTCATTTAGCTAGAATGAAGGAAGGATGTGTGCTCTATGCTCCAAGTGTGATTGCAATTGCCAGACTCTTGGATTTTACCAACTGGTAATATTCCAAAAGCAAATTTGAAAAACAATGTAATGTTGCCATTTTTTTTTTCAAGTAAGAACCTAAAAACAAATATCATATCTTTTCTGGCCATTATTTCACATGAGAAAGAATATTTTCCAAGGAAAGAAATATGAATCAGAAAATTTGAGAATGAAGAACCATACTTTATATTGAATAGACTTTATGAAAAGCCCACAGTATGTCATCAGAGACTTGTGAATGTCTTTATAGATTGGACCTATAATTGTCAAAACTCTGTTCCAGGACCTGACACTTTGGTACCTCTTGAACATGGATCCCTAATCTCCATGGTGTTTGCAACCTTTCCACGTTGGAATGTTCAAGAGCTACAAGATACTGTATGTGAGTGTACACATTAATGGAAAATTATCTGTGGATACTTTTTTCAGCCTTAGCCAGTTTCTTTTTGTTTTTCTTTTTGGAGTATTAAGTATCTTTCTATGTCTTCCAAAAGAATGAATACAGGGTTAAATGTTGGGTGGGGGATATTTTTAAGGTTACCTGAAGACTACAAGCTTTCATAGAATTTGAAGGTCTTCTATAGAATCTATTGACACCTCAGTCACAAATTCTACTGGAGAATTCCACATTGTAGGAGACAATTGCCTATAGCAAGTCAAATCCCCAAGGAGAAAAAAATGGTTTTCAGATTATGCACCCCTTGGGAGACAACTGAATTCTTACAGTACTAAACTGGAGGCTTTAAATCATGTTATTTTGAATTGCATCTGGAAGTCCAATCCTAAGTAAGACCTGTACTTGCTCTGGCTACTAGCAATTTCCATGCCATATTTTATATATGCGTTCTAAGCATGTGATTAAACTGTCAAATCCTCCAAAAGTCTGAGAACACTGGCCAGAGTCAGACCAAAGAGATCCAGACATTTAAATGAAGCATGAAATTAACTTCAATTTTCTTACTTAGTTATTATATACGGTATTTCACCAAGTTAATAGCAGGTCTTCAAAAACGTTATTTATTCCAAACCACTCAAATATGAGGAAGTCAACAGTGATGAAATGATAATGAAAATGCACCCATATTTGTTAAGAAACTGATTTTTTATGCCTAATTAGTTTTTGAAAAGTGGAACTCTGTGTTCAAGTACTGTTAATTTGATATATTTACCAGATGGATCTCTTTTATATTAAATTCCTACTGGTTTACCAAATAATAGCTATTAAAGATACTTAGGGTGTGTCAAAGACAAAGCAGGATTTTAATAGCATCAGGAAATTAATGATTGTAATGTATGCTAGAATTTTGATGAAGTGATGACCAACAATTATATTAAGTTCCACTGCTTTGAAAATAGCATTATTTCATTAGTCAAGAATGAATGTTTATTCTGACACAAGGTTCATGAGGACAAGTCTAGTGCATATGAATTTAAATAATTTGGCAGTCAAAAATGGAGATATTCTGTATCAGGAAGTCACATCCAAAGAATGGATTCTATCTTTGCTTCTTCATGCTAGCTCCTAACAATTTCCATATTATATTCTTGGATATGTTTTTACACACACATATGTACTTACATATGTGTGTGTATAAAACCTTGCATAAAAAGTGAAAAGAGAAGAAAACACCGTGCTTATTTCTAGTACAGGTTGAAAATGCATGAGTATCTGGAAGCGAAGAATAGACTGAGATTAAGTAAAAAGCTTGTTAAAATATAAGTCCAAGTCCAATGTTCCATCACATAACTCTAAAAACTGCTTTTCTTTGAGTATTTGAAGTTTTTAGAAATCAGGAGCCCTCTATTAACCCAAAGGCCATTGGAAACTTGAGGGATCACATTTTATATCTTATTCCACTTACACTGTATTTTTATGTGAATGTCTTGAAAGAGATAAGCAGAAAACAGGATGCCAGGAAGTTGTTGATGAGCTGAATATAATGAAAGGGGTAGTAATCCTGGAAATGGAAGGCGGGACTGATGAAAGAAAGAAGGAAAAGTACAGACAAACTTTTATCCCTTACAAAATTTACATAAGATTAAGACTGGGGTCAAGAGATGTGATATAAGGGAAAAATCAAACAAATTCTGAATAAAATATAATATTGTGCTTAGCTGCTCAGTTGTGTCCAACTCCCTGTGGCCCCATGAACTGTAGCCCACCAGGCTCCTCTGTCTATGGGATTTTCCAGCCAAGAATACTGGAGCTGGTTGCCATTTCCTCCTCCAGGGGATCATCCCAACCCAAGAGATGCAAAAACCTACATCTCTTGCATCTCCTGCATTGGCAGGCAGATTCTTTACTACTAGCACAATCTGGTAAGCCCAAAATATAATATTAGGACTCCCAGAATTGGTATTCACTTTGAACAATCATGAATTACTGCATGATGTGTGGGGAAGGTAACGAGCCAAAAGAACCTTCTGTCAGGGAATGGGCAGAAAAACTCAAAGATGAATGATGTAATATATGTCTTTCTCCATTATAGACAAGCGTGCAACATGTGGCAAGAGAGGGAAAATTCAAGAACTGAATGGAGAAAAAGCTGTGTGTTTTTTTTTTTAATTAACCCAATTACAACTTGATGTTGACTTGGTATTTTTCTCAGATGCCTTACACATGTTATGGAAATAGCTAATGAGGAAGAAGGCCAAAGATGGAAAATCTGATATGGCAATTTTCTTTTGCTAAAAAACATCAATCATGTAATTATTATCAACAAAAAATGCCAAGTAATTGAATTTCTATATGTAATATGAATCATTGCAAGTCCTCACTATTTCTTTGTGAATTTACCAACTGACTATGCATTCCTCTCCAAACCTACAAACTTATTGGCAACATAGAACCCAGAGATAAGTTAGTTTAACCAAATTTATCATTCTAAAGTTTCTGCAAAATTGAAGAACAGAATCTGAATCCTTGATGTAAATTCAGTTGCCTCAAAGTACTCCCTTTCGGCTAAAAGATTTCACCTACAACCTCAGAGAAATGCTGAGAAAACTAACTTGATTTTTGCATATTTTTCATCTTTCAGAGACTTGGTGGTATGGGCAAAGTCATCCAAAAACAAACCAACAACCAAAAAACTGCCAAGCTTTAGGACAGTTGTATGTATCAGACTTTCATTTATACAACCTGTGTGGTGCTAGAACTGAAATAAAAAAAATAACATAAAAACAAATGAAAGGCGCTAAAACATGATATGGTCTAACTATAGGACATTTTGGAACAGGCAGAACTATGGAGACAGTATAAAGATCAGTGTTTGCCAGGGTTTGAGGAGAGGGAAAGATGAATAAATGGAGCACTTATTCATCAGAATAAGAGGATTTTGGAGGCAGTGAAAATACTGATAATATAATGGTGGCTACACAACATTACGTATTTATCAAAACTCCTTCCCAGATGGCGCTAGGGTAAAGGTGGATCCGTGGGCACGCTCCTCGTGCCCATGCAGGAGACTATAGGGTTTCTATTCCTAGTTGGGGAAGAGCCCCTGGAGGAGGAAATGGCACTCCACTCCAGTGTTCTTGCATGGAAAATTCCATGGGCAAAGGAGCTTGGTGGGTTACAGCCCATGCAGCCGCAAAGAGTCAGACAGGGCTGCGAGACTGAGCAAATATGAGAACAGAGACAATGCAACACACAAAGTGAACCCTAATGTAAACTATGAACTTTGGGTGATTAAAAACAAGCAAAACCACTAACAAAATTAACTCTTTTCCCACAAAATATGTACTTGGAAAGGAACCAGTCCACGTCCATGTGCTTTGTTGCTCAGTCGTTGCTGACTCTTCGCGATCCCATGGACTGTAGCCCGCCAGGCTCCTCTGTCCATGGGGATTCTCCAGGCAAGAATACTGGAGTGGGTTGCCATGCCTTCCTCCAGGGGATCTTCCCAATCAAGGGATTGAATCCAGGTCTCCTCTATTGCAGATGGAATCTTTACCATCTGAGCCAATCAATGCATCAGAAACAAAATCACAACACAAATTACAAAATATTTGAAACTGAGCAGCACTTAAAGAACTACATATAAAAAACTGTGAGATGTAACTAAAATAATATTTACCAGAAAGTTTATTGCCTAAAATAAATATCTTAGAAAATAAAAAGTTTGGAAATCAGTGAGTCTAGGACTTTCTGAAGAAATTGGAAATTAAAAATAAGTTTTTTTTTTAAAGAACAAATTAATGTGCTAAGATATAAAGTATTTTTAAAAATAGATCTGATCAAATTAGAAGCATGCATATCTATAAAAAGGTCTCTGTGACTGTGAATTATTAGAGTTATTTAAGTGTAAGGAGGTAATGGAAACATATTTTATCTACTTAGGGTCTAGAGATCTGTTTTGTAGTTCTTTTCATAGAAAAGACTAGGTATTGTGTCACTTGTGGTTCACTTTGCTCTTCTGGACCTTAATTATTTAATTAATGTGAAATGAAGAATTTGGAGAAAAAGTCACACCTAGTCACATCTCTTCTGGGATTCTGCTTTTCCAGGGCCTTTGTGGAGGCAACACTTTGCCTAATATAATATTCAGCATACATAGTGTAGTTATCGCGTGAACCACTAGTGTCTGCTCGGGAGCCTGGAAACTGAAACAGTGAGTTATGTTACACAGTACCTATTATTATTATGGCCAGTAGCAGCAGTGGTGGTGGGGTAATAGTAGCGGTGTAAAATTTATAGTGAATATAATTCACTTGGTACTATTATTTCCTTTGTGTGGTCACAATTAGTTCATAACTAAATTCTCAGCACTAAAATCCAAACTTTCCCCTCTTTGCAACATTTTCAGTAAAATGTATAACTCTCTTCCAAGGCAGGCTATATTAATAGAAGTTTCAAGTTGCTCCTAAGTGTTCCTAGGGCAAAGCAACTGACAATTGTTTTGTTAAATCAGTGTCATGTTCACTTACTTAAGGAGATTCTGGTCTGAAAAAATAGTAAGGCAGGCTGTTTCATTTCTCTTACAAGAATAGAATAAAATTTTTTTTCAAAGCTAGAGAAGATTTCACAGTGCATTTTCGCTCACAATGGAGAGAAATCTTCCTTCACTATTTCTTGCTCCTTCCCTTTGGCCTTGCTGTAAAAAGGATAAATTGACAGTTGGGAAGAGCACACCAGGGAACCTACTTTTTCTCCCCTCTGTTCTCTTGTAAACCAATGTCTGTTCTCTGTAAACCAATGGTTCTCCTAGTGTTGTCAGAGACGCTTTCAGGGGCATCACAGCGATCTTCCTAGTAATTCTACGTAAGACGTTGCTTCCTCTTTCTTGCTCGTCCTCCCGTGAGTGTACAGTGGGGTTTTCCACAGCTGTGTGACACGTAATGTGGCGTCCCAGGTGGTGCGGTGGTGAAGAATCTGCCTGCCAATTCAGGAGAGGTGGGCTCAATCCCTGGGTCTGGAAGATCCCCTGGATTAGGAAATGACAAAATGGCTCCACTATTCTTGCCTGGGAAATTCCATAGTCAGAGGAGCCTGGCAAGCTACAATCTGTGGGGCCACAAAGAGTCAGACACATCTGAGCGACTGAGCACATGACAAGTCATGTCACAACAGTTTGAATATGGAAGCAGATGGGAGAATCTTGCTGTCTTCTATCAAACCAGAGGTTGAAAACATTTGCATAAATACAAAATAATGCCACTCTTCCCACAAAATATTTCTTTGATCATATATGTTTCATAAACACATTATTTTTGTTAATATGTCAAGGGTTTGTTATTTATATACTAACATAAAAAAGTCACTTAGATGCTGAACTAACCCCAAAGAAGAAGCTAAAGTACTTGGAAAATCTCTCCCAACCTCCATAATGGTTTAGACTCAATGTAAGTAGAAAATAAACTCTCTAATTCAAAATCATGTATGAGGGACTCCCCCGGTGGTCCAGTGGTTAAGACTCAACACTTCCACTGCAGGGGACACGGGTTTGGGGAACTAGGATCCCACATGCCAGGTGGGTGAAACAACCCTGAATCTTCATTAGAATGACTGATGCTGAAGCTCCAATACTTTGCCACCTGAGGCAAAGAGTCAACTCATTTGAAAAGACCCTGTAGCTGGGAAAGATAGAGAGCAGGAAGAGAAGTGGATAACAGAGGACAAGATGGTTGGATGGCATCACCAACTCAATGGACATGAGTTTGAGCAAACTCTGGGAGATGGTAAAGGACATGGAAACCTGGTGTGCTGCAGTCCATGGGGTCACGAAGAGTCAGACATGACTGAGCAACTGAATAACAACAATAACATTAGCCTGGGGTAAATAAAATGAATGGAGAATTAAGTAAGGATAAATGGGAAAGTGCTCAAGCTAGACTCTAGATTTTCAATGCCATATAATGTATTCTTACTGCTTATCTTGAAAGACAATATTTGCTTAAAGCCCCACGCATCTGTGTATCTTAAATGTTTGGGTTGTCGTATATGTGGCATCTGTGTATATGGTTTAAAGATTACTGATCAGAACATGTTGCCCTGTCCTTCAGTCCTGGATGGAATGGTAATATAGGTTCAGAGCAGACATCTGGAGTCAGGCTTGGGAGGTTGAATCCTAGTCTTTCAAGTTATTTAATTTCTTTGTCTATAATATGGGGTTAATAACAATAGCAGCTCTGCCATGGGGTTGTCACCATGATGATAATACTTGTGGCTACTTGATAAATGTTTAGCACAGCGCCTGGACCACAGTGGGTTCCCTACACTTGTTGGGTTAGCAAATAAGTGAAACCAGAGCTGGCCAGGTTAAACACCAGGTAAAAACAAGGGCATAGTCTGTGAAGCAAACATAACATGGCGGGGTTGGGGGTCAGGGGCAGCTAAGTAGGGAAAGCAGATGGCAGCCTCTGGGGTTAGAATGACTGGGTGTGCACAGTCCCAACAGCGAGTCGTCAAAGCCCAAGGAACCAAAGAGGCTTTACGTGACAGAGATGTGCTCGTTGTTTCTGTCGTGTCTGCCTCTCTGTGACCCTACAGACTGTAGTCTGTCAGACTCCTCTGTCCGTGGGGTTCTCCAGGCAAGAATACTGGGGCGGGTTGCCATGCGCTCCTCCGAGGGATCTTCCTGACCCAGGGATCCAACCCCAGTCTCCTGTGTCACCAGCCTTGCAGATGGATTCTTTGCCACTGAGCCAGTGGGGAAACCCAAATGAGAGGGGAGGGGCTGGGGGAAAAAGTGTTGCTCCCAATAGACTCTCATGAGAAATGTTTCACAGAGATTGAGCTTGGTGTGAAGGCCTGCAGGGGAAGAGACGCAACCCTCTGAACCCCCAAATCTACTCTTCCAGTTATAAAAAATTGCCACCACTGCTTGATGCCATATATTCAAACCATGCACATCACACCATTTCCTTTTACTATATCATTCCCAAATTCTGTCCCAATGTGCTGAAAAAATATATTTGAAATATTCTGAAGTCCAAAGAAGAGACTTTTAAAAAAGTCATGCCACATTTCTTTTCCAGGGGAATTTTAATTAAGTTTGAAAAAAAGAAACTTTGATTTACTCTGGCATTTATATAAATCTGTTCTAATTTCATTAAGTATTCCAAATGCTTTTGAAAACACCCTTATTGTTTTATACAATAGTTAAATGTTAATTAAATGTGCTATTTATTTAATTAATGTTGTTCAAAAATAGGGTCTTGCCAACGTATATTAAATGTATAATTAGCAGCTTGGCGCATATAATTATTTACATATTGTTTCAAACAAATACTTGTAACCACTGTGTATTCAGAAGTAAATAATGGACTTCATATTTTAACATCAGACACAATTTAATTTCCTGTAATTAAAATGTCACAATAGCTATACTCCAGATTGCAATGGAAATTCTTCTATTTCTGCGAAGCTTTATATAGTTGAGGTAGGAGGAGTTATTCTCCAAGCACAAAGTGCCTATTGCTTTTCCACTCAAATACAAGATCAAGTCACCATGTCGTAGGCTCGCATTCTGGGAAACTGACCCAAAAGGACAATGCAGATAGTGGAATGCAGCTTATTATACCGGCGGGCCCAAAGCAGAGTCTCCTCTTAGCCAAGGACCTGGATCAGTTTTTTGTGAAAACCTTATACAGGCTAAGCGTACGTGCCCAAACCCACCTACACAAATTCTCTGAAACTAGTCTGAACAAAGGAAAAGAAAGATAGAATCAAAGTTAAACCATGATTTGTATGCCTTAAACCCGTGATTTGTATGCCTTAAGCCTAGATAGTTAACAGTGGACAATTATCAATAGGCCTGTGGTCATACCCCAATAAGCATAATAGAGTTTATGAATCTATTCGGTTACACAGATAATTAGGGTATTCTTTTAGGCGACAGGAGAGTCTAGGTATGACCCCTGGGGCTCTTCCATCCGGGGGGGTCTGGTTTTCCAGTTGGTATGACATTTCCATAGATACTGGGCATAGAGCTCAAAGTCCACAGTCCCGCCCAAGATGGAGTCCTGCTTTCAAGATGGAGCCTATTCTGTCTGTTTCCTCCTTCAACCATCTTTAAGCTTATCATGTAACTCCAGAATAGCTGGTAAACTTTTAGAGCAAGATTAACTTTCTAGTATGCACACTTCCAGTAGTAAGGATCCAGTAAATGTCCAGGTGATGATTATAATGGGCACCCTTCTTCTAGGAGCAAAGTGGAGGAGCACAGTCTTTCAGAAGTTTCAAGACAAGTTCTTCTCAGTGGTATATAAAGAAATGCTGAGGCTTTTTATGCAATACTAGGAAGTGGCTTGTCTTCTGTTCCTCTTTAAGAACAATGTGAAATAAATATCCTATATTAACACATATATGTGGAATCTGAAAATGCTTAGTATAGGTGATCTTATTTACAAAGGGAAATAGATACACAAATGTAGAGAACAAACGTATGGATGCCAAAGGCAGAAGGGTGGGGTGGGATGAATTGGGAGATGAGGTCTGACAAATATGCACTATTAATATCATGTATAAAAGATAACTAATAAGTAACTACTGTTTGGGTAGGGACCTCTACTCAGTGCTTTGTGGTGAGCTAAATGGGAAGGAAATTCAGGAGAAAGGAGGTGTATACATAGAGCTAATTCACTTTGCTGTACAGTAGAAACGAACACAATATTGTAAAGCAACTATACTGCAATGAAAATTAAAAGAAATAAATGAAATAATTGTGTTCCTGTTCAGGAATTCTGCGCTTGACCTACTCTGCAAAAACCCCAAACTCTCTTTGTCCAACAATTAAATATTGTTCAACAATTAAAATTTGAAAGTAGAATATAAAGAACAGTGGGAAAAGTTAAATATGTATATTTGCTTTTGTTGGGAGATTCACTTGAATTGAATACTTGTACTTTTAAAATGACATCTCTGCTAAGAATTTGTGAAGTGCTTTGTATGTGTAAAATTTTCAGCAACCTCTGGACTGAAATAAGATCAAGCCAGTCAGTCCTAAAGGAATCAGTCCTGAATATTCATTGGAAGGACTGATGCTGAACCTGAAGCTCCAGTATTTTGGCCACCTGATACAAATTGCTGACTCATTGGAAAAGTCACTGATGCTGGAAAATATTGAAGGCAAAGAAGGGGGACGGTAGAGAGTAAGATGTTTAGAAAGCATCACGGACCAAATGGACATGAACTGAACGAATTCCAGGGGATGTTGGAGGACAGAGGAGTCTCACATGCTTCAGTCCATGGGGTTTGCAAAGAGTCAGACATGACTTAATGACTGAACGACAACTACAATGCTATAATTTACATAATTTCTTTATTTTTAAGAGAAGTATTATGTGTACAAGATATTGCTATTAAAAACATAAATGGGTAAACATTCTCATGTACAATTATTTCTTCATACTTGAGTTGTTGCTTTAGGATAAATTCTCAGAAATAGGTCAAAGGGTATGGGCATTCTCAAGGCCCTTAACACTCAGCTAAAAATTGTTTTCCAAGAATATTGTTCTGATTTACTCTTCCATTAATTGTGTATGAGAATGGCTTTTTCACAGTAACTTTGCCAGCATGAAGTCTCATTAATCAAATGGCAAACTGGCAGAGGTCAACATAGTGAGTGAACTGGTGGTTTAGACACTAAGTCATGTCCGACTCTTGTGACCCCATGGACTGTAGCCTGTCAGGCTTCTCTGTCCATGGAATTCTCCAGGCAAGAATACTGGAGTGTATTGCCATTTCCTTCTCCAGGGGAGTGAACTGGAGGGAGTAAAATTTTGTATGTTTCAGGAGAACAATTTGTCATTGTCTTTCTGAGATGATGCATGCAAGGACCCTAGAAAAATTCAATTACTTACACCAATCACAACAGTTTTTCCTAAGAAAAAATGGATAGTATGTGTAACATGAGCATTTAAAATGCTAATTGTGGTGTTGCAAAATAGTGG